AAATAAACGTATAATGTTGTCGATAATCGCACAAATATACGATCCTCTAGGAATTTTAACACCGGCTGTCGTAGTAGCTAAAATATTGATGCAAAAAGTGTGGTTGTGCAAGATAAATTGGGATGATCCCGTTCCCAGTGATGTTGCTTTATCCTGGGAAAAATTTATTGACACACTTCAATATTTGCATAACCTACGTATTCCGCGTCATGTTATGAGCGCACACACACAGTTTATAGAATTACACGTATTCACGGACGCGTCGCAGAGTGCGTATGGTGCATGCGCATATGTTCGCACCTACTCTGATGACTCATCGGTGACTGTTAGATTATTGTGTGCAAAGAGTAAAGTTGCACCAATTAAACCAGTCAGCATACCCCGATTAGAACTGTGCGGGCTTTTAATAGGCGCACGATTATATAGGAAAATTATCGAGTCATTGCGTGTTAATTTCCACAAAATTTACTTTTGGACAGACTCAACTATTGTCCTTGGATGGCTACGTATGTCACCACATTCGTTAAAAACATTCGTTCAAAATAGAATAGTGGAGATTAATGAAATAACAAGTAATGCGTTATGGTTACATGTAGGAACCAAAAATAACCCAGCGGATCTGGTCTCGCAGGGTCTTAGTCTTGATGTACTCATTGACAGTAATCTGTGGTGGAGCGGACCTGAGTTCTTAAAAAATTCTGAGTCGGCATGGTCACAGCAATCTTCGACTACACACTCCGACTTACCAGAACTAAAATCACAAACGACAACGGTTATGGTTTGTGATGTAACAAAGAATAAAATTATTAATTTTGAAAGGTTTCGTTCTTATCAGCGTATCGTGCGCGCCGGCGCTTACCTGTTGCGATATATACATAACTTACGCACACCAAAGAAAGATCGTACACAGGGGCCGTTATCAGTAGATGAATTGAATGACTCCTTACAGTCGTTAGCGCGTCTTGCTCAACGCGAATCGTTTCCGATGGAATATGATAAGTTAAAACATAACTTACCTTTAAAAACTTCAGGTTCGATTTCTAGGCTTAATATATTTCTAGATGAAAGGGATATAATTAGAGTAGGTGGCCGTCTTAGTAACTCGCCTGACTTTAATTACGACAAGAAGCACCCGATACTTTTATCAAGTAAACACAACTTCACACAATTGTTGTTTCAACATCAACACAAAGAGCTTCTTCATGCTGGTCCCCAGCTGCTATTGGCCACCGTGCGTGAGAATTGGTGGCCGTTAGGGGGTAGAAACCTAGCTAGAAAGGTTGTCCACCAATGTGTTCGCTGCACTCGAATGAAAGGTAAAACCTTAACACCAATCATGGGCAACCTTCCGTCTGAACGAATAGAACCTGGTTTCCCATTCATTCGATGTGGAGTAGATTATGCGGGTCCCATAAACGTATTGAATCGCAAAGGAAGGGGAGCTAAATTGGAAAAGGGCTATATTTGCATATTCGTTTGTTTTGTTACCCGGGCCATTCATCTAGAACTTGTCAGTACGTTAGCTGCTCAAGAATTTATATTAGCACTTAAAAGATTTATCTCACGACGAGGTAAACCAGCTCAAATTTTCTCAGATAACGGTAGAACTTTCATTGGAGCCATGAAAGAGATTAACAAAATGTTAGAGCGAAATTCAAAGCAAATAATTGATAGATTATCAACTGACAATATTGAATTTAAATTTATTCCCCCCTTATGCTCCTCATTTTGGGGGATTGTGGGAAGCAGGAGTAAAATCATGTAAGTTCCACCTTAAGCGTGTCGTGGGTACCACTAACTTGACATACGAGGAGTTCAGCACTGTGTTGGCACAGATCGAAGCAGTCCTAAACTCCCGTCCTATAAGTCCTATGTCCTCAGATCCACATCTTCGTCCACTAAGCCCAGCTCATTTCCTCATCGGCCGGCCACTCACTGCACCAGCCTGCAGAGACCTCACCGAAGCACGTACTCACAGCTTGAAACGGTTTCAAAGAGTGGAACAAATAAAACAGCACTTCTGGAAACGCTGGTCACAAGAGTATGTTGCTGAACTTCAGACAAGAATGAAGTGGAAGGCGAACAGTCAAGAGACAGCATTAAACACGCTTGTCGTTATTAAGGAGGACAATTTACCACCCCTTAAATGGCGTATGGGCAGAGTTACCCATATTTTCCCCGGAAAAGACGGCGTGTCGCGTGTCGCCACCATCCAAACTGCTACGGGTCCTGTACAACGAGCGTTCTCGAAAATCTGCCCTCTGCCTGTATCATCAGCAGAGGACGACAACATGAATGCAGCCTGCGGTATCTCCAATCAAGCGGCAACGTAGATACATCATTGGAAGCTGGAGCTTCCAAGGCGGCCGGCATGTTGGCGCGACTTCTAACGCCGCCTAGCGACGCACCGGAACACCAAACTTTTAGCTACGAATCAGAGCTCGTCATTGTTAGCAACCAATCACAGCACGTCGTGCAATTAGTTATAAGATCTGTCTGTATTAAATTTTGATTATTACCTGATACACACTGTTAGCAATAAGACGACTTAAATATAACCAACAAACGTTCAATAAATCAATCATTGAAGAGCACCTGCCTCCCGTTCCTGTACAGGCTGTGCATACTGACCATACACTATCTGGCTGGCGTGATGTGTCAATTGTCGTCCCTCAAGGCGGTATTATCTCTCCTCTTCTGTTTTCCATTTTCATAAATCTCATCACACTAAATCTCAAGAGCTCTTACCATCTGTATGCTGATGATCTGCAGTTATATGCGCAAGTGGAACCTTCAAATATCGTTAGTGCTATCTCAATTTTAAATGATGATTTGAAATATATCTCAGAATGGTCTACTGTGTATGGCATAAACGTGAACCCGTCTAAATACCAAACAATAATCTTAGGTAGCTCAAGATTATTATCTAAACTAGATATTCCCACCCTACCATCAATCATGTTTAATAATAATGTCATATCTTTCTCTACTAATGTAAAGAACCTTGGATTGTATATCGATGGTTGCTTAAAATGGAACAATCATATACAGGAGGTGAGTCGCAAAACTACTGGAACTTTGCGATCTCTATATCGATTTAAAAACTTTCTTCCCACCAATACCAAGATTTTAATTGTCCAATCACTTATTGTACCGATTATTGATTATGTCGATGTGTGTTGCTCAGACCTGTCTCAACTTCATCTTAATACATTGGATCGTCTGCTTAACGACTGCATCAGATACATTTATGGTCTTCGTAAATGCGACCATGTATCTTGCTTTCGTACACAGCTAAACTGGCTGCCTATCAGTCAGCGCGGATATGTTAGAATACTCTGCACCCTTTTTCACAATTTTAAATGATCCATTTACTGCCGAGTATCTGAAATCTAAATATCAATTACCTGGGAGATTCTCATAATTTTTCTCTCTGTTCCTCGGCCAATCTTAAGTTGCTTACTCCTTTACAACGTACTGGTTATTTATCTCACTCTTTTGCCCTCACGGCCATCAGACTCTGGAACGACATCCCTCTTGACATTAAAAAAGCTCCCAACAAATTCGTTTTTAAAAATCAAGTCCGTAAGTATATGATTAAATCGTTGCAAGTTTGAAATAACACAGCTCTTTTTTTTTCGTATATATTTCATATTTGTTCTGACATAGATAATATTTATACATATATATATATATATGTATTGTTTATAATATATTTTTTTTTATCCTCTCTATTTGATTATTGCTGCACCGCCTCTAAAATGTCTATCTCTGCTTAGCCTAATGGTTGACTGGGAGAGAATGCCCTATGGCATTGTGCATAAAAGCATAAATAAATAAATAAATAAAATAAATTTTTGTCGCTGTTTAGTCATGGAACCAGCAAGTGATAAATAGTCAACAACAAAATAAAATCAATCGGTAAGCTGCCCCAAGTAATAACATGTTATTTACCAGGATGGTCTGAAAAGTGTCCGACTCCAACAACTACGCCTCCAAAATGGCTGAAATTTTGCTACGTAACTGTCAAAAGATCCACAACTTCATTTACCAGCTTTTATTGACGAGTGCTGCCATCTTCACGTTGAGGTCGGAAACTTTGTAGACCACCCTGGTACTACTTGGTGCAGCTTATCGATCGATTTTATTTTGTTGTACGCTTTCTAAGAGTTTTCGATGTATTTATTAACCCGCAGCAAAATACTCGTTAATTTGGAACTTCAGAACCAGTGTTAGAACATAACTTGATGTAAGTACTTTTTTATTTAAAAAATTTGTATACGAATTTTTTCATATTCTTTTTACACTAGGAGGAAAGCTTTGTAGTTTAGCTTTTTATTGTATTAGTACATCGATTATAACTTGGATAAAGTAATTTATTACTGCATGTACTTTTACCTAAAATATTTTTATCATGACTATACATAAAATCAAGCAAGTACATGAATTGAATCTCATTAATTGAAGGTGCCTTACGGTTCTCATTTAGGTTTCATTTTCAGTTCATATAGTATCAGAACCGCTAAATACCGGGTTAGGATTTAACGGATTAAACCAAGAAGCTCGTCCAATAAAACATATTAAGAATAAAAAGACAAGGCACTGTTAGGCTGTACTTTAAATAAAATTTATAACATCTTTACTGGTGAATAAACATAGCTTTAATAGATTATATGGAGAAAAATAATATAACAGCTCAACCTAAACTGGACAAACTTGGTGCAAGTAATATTATCAACATTTTTGACTACTCGTAAATCCACTTTGCCTAGGACACTCACCCATCACAAAAAAATCATCAAAATCTGTTTACCTCATTAGGAGGAATTCAATTACAAACACACGTACAGAAGAATTATATAAAGGTTAAGCTAATATTACATAAAATTAATTCTTCAGTCTAATAAAGGGTTTTTCAATAGCACAAAATGGCCGCCACGGACCGCTTAAATCTACCCTCGCCAATTGAAAAACCCTTTATAAAAACTGAAGTAACTTACCTCTAACAACCCTTCGTCATCCTGCAGCAGGCTGTCGATCAGACTCCTCAGATATCCCTGATTGGTGAGTGTGTTCATCCAATCGGTTCCCGGGTTGATTTCGATGAGCGTGTCCAAGCAAGACAGCGCCACCATCCTGCAGACGTCGTGTCCCGCCCCGATGCAGTCGCTACACACTATCGAACATAACTTTTCCCCGAAACCGTTTATAACGTCTATAACCATTGCCTTCAACGCGGATTCCTCTTTACTCTGTCGTCCTTTGGAACTGTCAAGGCGGCTCACATATGTCGCAGTCATTATTTCTTCCTCGGGCTCCGCCGGACTCACTTTCAAATTCACTATGTTCAAAAAATTCAACAGCGCTCCGTATAAATTGACTCGCATCTTCTGCGTACTGCCGCCTGACACCAATATCCAACTTAAAATCTTATGCAATATAAACTTAAGAGTCAGAGATTTTGTTTGCATTATCTGGTTCGAAGGACCAAAGAAAGTCGTTTCAAATTCTGAGGAATTCAAATTGGATTCTCTCTTTTGTAATATATAACAGTGTCGTAAATTAACAAGCAATAATAATACTGTTCCAGATGCTAGGTTTCCCAGTTGGGGTAGAACTTCTGCTGGAGGGATTTTGTTCAATAGATCTTGGAGGATATTTAATAGTAGGTTCTTTCTGGACTCGAGATTCAGTAAGTCCTGTGGGGCGACGCAAAATATGATTTCTGTGAGCTGTCGCCACGAATCGTAGTAATGGGTGATTGTTGCGGCAAGATTACGTTGCCTATTTACTTCTGTTACGTAATCCAGCACCTGAAATTTTTTTAAAGTAACATTATACAATAATATTATTAATAAAAGGAATAACTTCAAGATATATCTCAGAGAGTAAAAGTATACGCAAACCTTTTGTATTTCCAACGCGACGAGGTTCCTTTGAGGTGCGCTAGTGCGTATTGAAGCTAATTCACGGGCCAAGACTGCGTGCAGTCGATTCACACTGATGCGTTTGCCTCCCAGCCCTGAGAACGAAAAGTCATAATTACGTTAATTTTATTTCAATTAAATCAAATGTTATGAAATTAACAACTCAAAAGCCGTTGTGGTAGCACAATGGCTAAGTGCTTGCCCTTAGTTTTATAGTAGCCGTACACGACTGCTCGTTGGTCTAGTGGTTGTAGTAGTGCGACTGCTGATCATGAGATCCTGGGTTCGAACCCTGGGTCGAGTCAAAAATCAATTATTGAGTTTTCCGTCAAGAAATTCTTAGTAGCTGCCCGGAGTCAGGAAGTTGGCGATGTCTCACCCCCGTGCCTCGGAAAGCACGTAAAGCTGTGGGTCCTGTGCCTGATCTCTCTCCGGTCGTGTCGGTTTACCGTTCCATCGGATTATGAGAGTGAGGGAATAGAGAGTGCACCTGTGCTTGTGCATACACTCGGATACTATAATCCTGTCCTGCGCCGATGGCTAGTCTCCGTTGAGGCAGGCCGCCGTAGCCGAAATTCCGTCTGGAGGACATTATTATTATTATTACACTGGGGCGCACTGCACTGCAACGTACTGGACTACACTGCAGTGCGGTGCACGGTGAGCACAGTTACCTGTGGGCAGGTCGCAGTCGGCGATGGCGGCGCGCAGCTGGTGCGCATGGAACAGCTCCCAGCGCGGCTCGGGCGGCGCGCTCACGCTCACTGGCACGCCCTCGAGCGCACGCCGCACCACGCACCACTCCCACTCCTGTGCACAAGTTCCAAGTGCTTTCATAAATGTGCTATCTCAGTGGGAGGATGATTTGGGTACATTATGCACGCTCAGAGGCTATCCACAGAGTTATGGACTGTAGTAATAGATGTAGTGGTAGCCCTTTGAAAATTTAGTTCTATTGTTTAAACAATAAAATTGTTTTAAACTGTGTAAAGTTCTTTTTAAAATACAAATAATTAAATGTCTGAACTTAAACTAAAACTTAACTCTCAACTTAAATTTAATCTAAAATTTTTTTAAATATTAGTAAAATTAAAATAAATATGTCTTTTTAGTCTCTAGTTTTAAGTTTATAAAAAATACAAGAGTAAATAAACGTGAGAAAATAATAATAACAGTGTTAACGGTGTGTAATCATTGTATTTGAGTAGACACGTGTTACGTGTGTAAATGCGCGTGCGTGTACGTGCGTGCGTGTCCGTGCGTGCGTGTCCGTGCCTGCGTGTGCGTGCGCGCGTACCTGGTCCGGGTGGTGCGCGGTGCGCGTAAGCGCGGCGAGCAGCGCGGCGAGCGCGGCGTGCTGGCGCGAACCGCCGGCCGCGCCCGCTTCACACGCGCACGCGCGCAACACCCACGACCGCGCCGACAGCGTCGTCACCGACGCCGTCTGCACCAACAACGTTCCTGTCAAGCTCACATTACTACTCGCGCAGATAAACAATGGATTCATAAATTATGTGTCATCTATTCACCTCTTGCTTTCACACTGCATATGATTATTCTTACGCCCGTCTAACCACAAAAAATAACGTAAGATATTTATGAGCCACAGCAACCACTTACAATAACTTGAATTGTGTGCTCGCTCGCCACTCATATTCTATAAAAAAAGACATATAATATTTTAACCTTTTTGTTTTAAGTTCATGATCCTTCGAGCCTGATTTCATCTCACCATAAATATTTAAATGGCATTTTTGTTAATCAAAAATTCGTTATGAAATCGAATGTCTACTGAAAGTAAATTTATTACAAATTACAAAGTAATGTGTTCACCTCCAGATTGACGGTGGCCTTGACGTGACGCGCCAGGAAGTAGTCGCGGGAGCGCAGGAAGCGCAGCGCAGGCGGCGCGGTAGCGGCGCGCGCGCACACCCAGTACACCAGCCGGTAGCAGCTCTCCACCAGCGCGCTCGCCTCGCTGCCGTCGTCACAATACTTAATGCAATATCTAATATGCTGCCACTTCATGTCAAGTATTTTTTCCTTCGCATATCTATAGCCTAAATTACTAAGACTGCACAAATCCTTGCCTTACCAGTGCCTGCATTGCTGTTTTACGGTCTGAAGTGTATAGAGAACCAGTATGAATTCAGGCTGTGAGATACTCCATTCTAGTCCAAAACAACGAATCTGCAACCTTTTTTTGTTTAAAGTTGGCTAATTGCAGACATTCATGGACTACAGTAGCCACTCACTATCAAGTGGACTGTAAGTTTGTTTATCACTTCAGTTGTATAAAAAAAATCTATAGCCACTGTTTCTAGTAAATCAGTTCATGTAATCGCTAATATCACAAACATACTCATCAAACTGATTTATAATGGCACAATTGAGTTATTCGTGGACGATTACAACGCATTTACATATTCATCTGAATTCATTCAACGTAGATTTTTAAACATGGATGACGCGCGTCTCGCTGCTACGATTTTATGTCTATTTAATATTTATACCCACAAATATTTATTTTTACAAATATTTATTTAAAACATATTTCTAGTATCTCATGTCACTTGATAAAGTTCTATAAATTTAATAGTGGATTCGTTACTCCAATCCATAGCAGTACGGCAGTTTTTAACTTCCCGCTAAGAAAATTGTAAATTTTTAAAAATCGGAAAGTTATTGTTTTAGCCAGTTTTTCGAAAATTGAGTTTTCATCAAATCTTAACGTTTTAAGGTCACAGGAAACCTCCCTGACTATTTTTCGATGGTGTCTGTACTCTGTATGTATGTGTGTTGCATTTAACTTTGACATGACCGATTGAAATGAACTAAGCGGATTTCCTAAGTGTTTCATCGAATTTAGATTTCCTTTCATTACGGGTCAAAATAATGCACTATTTTTGGTGATGCACTATTGTTTACGTTAGAATTGATTAGGTTTTAGAATTACGATGTAAGTGCACAGATTAACTTGTGGGAACTCGTTTAGCAAAAGCCACCGCGCGATCTAAAAGAACTTGATCTATTTTGACTCTCAGGTAGCACCCAGTGAATAGACTTTTATTTAATAGAACAATAAGTTTAATAAATTAGTACTAGAGTAGTAGTGTCTTTCCATCACCATGTTGGCTTTTGTTAAGTTACATCGCTTCATCACGTTTGGCTGCATCACCACTTACTATCAATTCTGATAGTAATAATAATGTCCTCCCGACCGAATTTCGGCCACGGTGGCCTGCCTCAACGGAGACTAGCCATCGGCGCAGGACAGGATTATAGTACCCAAGTGTATGCGCAAGCACACACTCTATTCCCTCACTCTCGTAATCGGATGGGACGGTAACCCGACACGACCGGAGAGAGATCAGGCGCAGGACCAACGGCTTTACGTGCTTTCCGAAGCAAGGTGGTGAGACACCGCCAACTTCCTGACTCCGAGCAACTACTGAGAATTTCTTGACGGAAAAATTCAATAATAAATTTTTTGGCCCGACCCGGGATTCGAACCCAGGATCTCATGATCAGCAGTCGCACTACTACAACCACTAGCCCAACGAGGCAGTCTACTCTATTCTAATTCTGATAGTAGTCAAACGATGGCTTAGCATAATATAAAAAATGGTGGTTACCGTTCGGGGGCGTGCGGCGCGATGTGTGCGTCGAGCAGGTCGAGCACGGCGTGCAGCACGGTGCGGGGAGCACCCGCCGCGCCCGCTTCGTGCAGCGTGCTGCGCGACACCTGCACACACACCACCACGTATTACACAAAACCAAATATTCAACTACCCTCACTGAGGGTACTTGGGTTTTTTTTAATTTGTTTGGAACACAACTTACATTCTTCTTAATTTATCTTTTTTATCTGCCCGAAAACATTCGATTAAAATAAATAATATGACAATGTTATAGATGTCGTATGAAGTTGCTAAAAAGTAGAAAACATTATTTTATTCTTCAATTTATAAACTTACATTAATATCTTTCTTTCTTTTTTACCGGCTCGCAAAACTACAATGACACAAAGACGCCTAGTGTAATAGTGTAGTTGTAGTCTTATGTAGTTGCGAACTATGAACGAATAGGAAAAGTATCTTAGCACTGGACTAGAAGTAACGTTTCTGATTGCTGATTGTTAATCGGTATAATAGCTCTTTGCGTACACCGAACGAAAGTGCGAACAAGAACATATACGAAAGCAAGTGAACAAAAGAATCGGTGAGCCGTTAAAGAATAGACGTTAGTTGAAACAATGCAATAACATTCATTTTAGCTTATCATCTGAAAAGATGCAAGATTCCTTGTGTTGTCAAATTATTGTACTTATTATAATTAATAAATATATACAAACAAAACAAACATTTGATAGACTGCGTTTCGGCACTTGTACACTCGATAATAAGGATAATAAGGTTAATTTTACACGTGGTAGAGCCATGCTGTCATTATATTAGTAGTATAGTTGTAGCACGAATGGTTCGGCTCGACCGGGGAAGGACCACGCTCTCACAGAATACCAGCGTAAAATAGCAGCTTAGTGCTGCTGTGTTTCGTATGGTGAATGTAGAGAACCGGAGACCCTTTTTACTGGAAACGAGGCATTCCATCTTAGTCCTCACGGGTGACAATGCATTTCTGCATTTTGATTCGTAATCGAGGATAGATGTAGATGTCTATGGGCCACAGCAACCACTTACCGTCAGGTGGACTGTGTGCTCGTTTGTCATCCTATCCTATAAAAAAGGTGCACTTTAACTTGCAGGTCAAATGATTAAAAAAAACCTGTCTTCACTCGATAATTACTTTATCGATTACACTGACATATACTGAGTTGACACATTATGACATCTGTTACCGCGCAAACATAGAGAATATAACCACTAGAGAGCGTATAGGCAGAATTCATCTAAGCATACGACTCACTACTGCGGGCCGGGGGGACGAGGAAGAACGCGTGGCTGCAAATGGTCAAGTTGCGTTGTTATGGATATCTTTAGGGTTGCTCTTCTTAATAAAGGAAAATATTCGTTATCGATAAAATGGATTTTATCATTATGAAAAATACTAAATTAAAATAATAGAAATAATATTTAATCAAAATCAATCAGTTACAACGAAAACATTTATTTATTATATTATTATTGATTTTTAAAATGAATTAATTTGTTATATTTATTTCGAATTAAAGTTTAAGGGTCCTGATTGTTCTTTGTAAAAAAATTTAAACAAGCGTCTACATATTTGTAAATTATGCATCTTGCTAATTAAATTAAATGATTTGTTGATTCTATTTCAAATTGATGAAAATGAATATACGGGAATCAATAATACCTAATCAGAGATTTTAAAAACCGTTCTCATAAAATAATTGGTACTATATTTCGAAGACAGCACTTTTGAACCACTCTCACTGCTCGCTCTCTTATTAAAAATTTTACAACGACGACAAATATATATTACTGTAGTGGATCCGTACAATAACTTGTTTTTAGTGTCCTTTTGAAATTGTAAGCCGTTCTGATTTGGTACACCAATCTAACTAATTTAACTAGGTAACTATAAATTTTAACTAAGAAAAAATACCGACAAACTGAGAACCTCCTCTTTTCTGAAGACGGTTAAAAGTAGATAAGTATTTTTTCACAGTGTGTGAATTGAATAATCTTTTTATTAATTTTTATTTTATTATTTTCGATATCGACTTTGAGCTATTAAAGGTAACAGTAAGTCCTAATGTTTACGATAAACATACAAAGGGAAAGAAAGGGATAGAAGCATTAGAATTGTCTAATAATAGAACGAAACTTTTCTAAAAGACATCAACGCGCGACTCAACCATGTCGTTATTTCACCGGCCACCGTTTTAGATAGACCCCTACAATGGCTCATAATTTGAATAAATCAACAATAATTTTCGTATTTTTTACTTAGCAATGAAAAGTTACTACATTCTTTTTGGACATCTGTCCTGGAATGTTTCCCACACCACTTCACCGTGCATGAAGGCATTTTGATGCATTATAATTGCATAAAAGTTATAAAAATTTGAATTAATTTAGCGTGCACACAGGTCTAACACTTGGACAATACTAAAATGGTTAATAGTACCGTAGCCGATGCATAGGCGACAAAATACTAATAGTTTTCGAGCGTCGGGGCACTGTATGCGCAGTCAAGTGGTTATATAGTCTTTGCGCACAAACAACTACAACGAGTTACATTGTTTTATATGGATAATATATAGGGTCAACAGGCAGCTACAATCAAATATGTAATAAGCACTTGTGATCGTGTAAAAATTTAATAAAGTTGAAGTTAGATTATAATTATAACTCAATAGTTGTTATAATTATAATTATAACAACTATTGGTTATAATTATAATCAATAGAGGAGGGTTTTATGTTTATTATTGTTTTAGTATTCGTTTCGTCCTTGTTGTTTTAGCATGCTATAAACGTGGGATTTTATTTCACTAATGCTAATTATATTTTCGACACTAATTTGTTTTCAACTTATAATTTGACCAAAAAATTATTAAGTGCATGTATGAGTAATCAAACAACATTATGACTCGAGCAGATATCGATCGACTGAGATAGAAATTCCATACATACAGATATAGTTTTAACTGCTTAGTAGTACTGATGACCGAATAGAGCTAATAGAACTAATAGAACGAACAAGTTCATTATCCGAAATGACCATTGAATGAAAATTGAATGAATGAATACCAGTACGGAGCGATTTTTGAAACAACCGAGCAGGCACAAGACTAATAGACAGGTCTCTGCCATTGTATTTGATAATGATGAAAGTGTCAAATTTTAAGACTGAAGTAAACGAGATAGACGTACAGCCTTATACAACTTCCACGAACCCATGAGGTGTTGTATTCTCTTAGGCCTGCACCATTGGTAAGTAAAATATGTTGTAAAATGTGGTATAGCTAATGTAGTGTAGCGTGGGTGCGTACGTCATCGTGCAGCTGGTAGCCCAGCAGGAAGTGCGCGAAGTTGGGCGGCGCAGCGGGCAGCAGCTGCAGCAGCAGCAGCACCACGCCCTCCTTGGCGGCGCGCCCTTCCTCCTCCGCCTGCTTCTCGCTCTCGTCGATGCTTCCCACGTTGCCCGTCGACCACTCATCCGCCTCCAGGCACTCCACGAACCCGTGTCTGGTCGTAAAGCAAGTCATGTCACTGAATTGTTTTTAAGAGAACACCATTTAAAAAAAATACATTAAGAACTTTGATTTTGATAATAAATCGAAAATTGAAGAAGAAAAGAACTCCATAACCTAAGGCCATTGAACCTCAAGTCACATAGTATTTTGTTCGCGTTTAAAAATGTACTTGCTTAAAGTTTTTTCATATGCACTTTCTTACAAATTACCTTCTCTGTGCTTTGTCTTATTAACGTCCTTTTTATAGAATTTGAGGTAATGTATATTAAAAACGGCCAGCTTGCGATGACAGCAGTGCCCGTTGCAGCAGTAAGCTAGTACAACGCAGCATTGATTGAGATGCAGCACTTAGATACAACAGTGCGACGCACAGTGCGATGTAACTGTGCAACGTTACTGTGCGACACAGTAATAACACGCAGCAGTGACACGCGGCAGTGACACAGCACTGACACGAGGCCGTGACATGCAGCAATTACATGTAACGAGCCGCAGTGACACACAGCTGTAAGACACGGTAGTGACACGCAGCAGTGACACGCGGCAGTAACACGAGGCATTGACACGCGACAGTGACACGCAGCAGTATCATGGGGCAGAGACACGCGGCAGTGACACGCAGCAGTATCACGCAGCAGTATCACGGGGCAGTGACACGCGACAGTGACACGCAGCAGTAACACGGGGCAGTGACACGCAGCAGTATCACGGGGCAGTGACACGTGTGTGGTGAGTTCGGTACCTGAGGTCGGCGGCGAGCGCGCGGCGGTGCGCGACGGCGGCCAGCAGGTGGCGCGCGGCGTGCGGCGCGAGCAGTGCCCGGCGCAGCAGCGAGACCGCGCGCCGCGCAGCACCGGGCAGAGTGCTGCGCCCCACCACGCGGCAGCACGCCACCAGCCGGTCGCAGTTGTCTGGCCCTTCCGGCGCTGCAACCATCACTCATAATTTAAACTAGTACGTACGTAAACGTAAAACTCAAAATAACGCCACGTTTTGCGGCATAATGCTATGCGACAAATTGATGGAAATTAAATTGGATTAAAAGAGAAAATTCTTTCAACACAAAAAAGTCCAAAAAATTTAACAACTGACATAATGTATTTCTTAGATTTGGTTGAGATAACATTTGAGTAAACATAGTCGTCAACAACTTCAAGCTACTACTACCTGCAACTACCGGCATAAGTGTGACATGGATGTTATACATGGCTTTCGTTTTGCCCATGTTCATCTTAAGACCTATCTGCTGGAAGACACTATTGAGGTCATTGAGCAGTGTTTAGGTCTTGCAGCGATTCTGCTATAAAAACTATATCGTCGACAAATCGAAGGTGAGTGATGTACTCGCCATTGATGTTAATATCGTATCCTTTCCAGTCCAGTAACTTGATAACGTCTTCCAATGCAGCGGGAAGTTTCAGAGATGTAACGTCACTCTATTTTACACCTCTCTGCAATTGGATAGGTTTCGTACTCTGGTTCTGTACTCGGATAGCCATCGTAGCCGATATACCAACACATAACTAGGCACCGCTGAAGGGACTGTAGCACCGCCTCAATTTCAACGAAAGCTAAAGCTTTCCCATAGTCCACACACGCAAGGTAAAGTGGCAGATTGTACTCTTCGGTCTTTTGTACAATTTGCCGAAGGGTATGTATGTGGTATATGGTACTGAAGCCTTTTCGGAAACAGGCCTGTTCGGGAGGTTGGAAGTCGTCGACTCTGCATGCGAAACGATTCGTAATGACTCTCGAAAACGGCACGTAGACGCAGCTCAGAAGGAAAATCGGACTTTACTTTTTCAAGAGAGCGTTGCCGCCTTTCTTGAAGAACAATACCACAGCATTTTTGCACCACGCCCCTGGAGTAATACCACCATTACCAACACTAAACTAAAGAGCTTCTGAAGGACTTCAAATACTGGTTCGCCACCCGCTTTCAGATGCTCCGCTGTAATTGCATCCTCGACCGGGGTCTTGCCGTTTTTAAGGTACTGGAGAGCCATTCTAGTCCCGCTCAGACTGACGTTCAGGATATCATAGGAATATTGTCCCATTAGACTTGCTCTTGAATCGTTACTCACACTTGCGTGTGGCTTCCACGATGACGTGTATAGTCAGCGTGCGAGACGATTCATAATGATTCTCGAAAACAGCACGTGTTCAGTTATACGCTGTCAAATGTGCTGAATACTGCAGCTTCATTTCCCATCCAACATCCATGAGATTAAAAGTGTGAATGGAGATATGTGGGTTCTTCTGCAACAGGTCTTGCAGAACTTAGACTTCGACCGCATGGACAGTTTCCACTAGCTTGGCATTCATATCAACCACTGTATTGCAGTCTTTTAGGCACTGAAAACGATTTACTTTTTGTAATTTGAGATAAAAGTTTCATTTAAAAGATAAAAAAAGATTAAAGCACAAAGGGGACGGAGCGTTAACTTCATTAAACATGACCTCTCCAACTTAAAGTGTTCCTCCCCATTAACACTCACTCACACACTACCATTCAGTGATCGCTGCCGGTTTTCACCTCGCGATCACTGAGACATAACTGAATAGTTATGTCTCAGTATAAAGTCAATCTCATTTTTTGTCGAACCGTCATGACTTGACCAGGTCTACTTTCTGTGGAGTCGCATAAAGAGTCCCTCTTTCTCCTTGAAGTTAGCCAGCTGCTGGCCCCATTGGTTCCTATGTCCTATCCCGAATTTCCCCACATACAGTTCACTGTTCTCTCTCGTGCCAAGTTTTGCGTTGAAGTCTCCTATTTACACTGTTTTAGTGTGTTTTGGAGGAAAGCATGGCTCTAGAGATATACCTCATACATTTCCTCCACCTCCTCATCGGGATGTACCGAGATTGGTACGTAAAACGCTGTATTATCTTCAGCAAATACCGTTTGGCGATTCTAAGTCGACACACTCAAAACCTTTAAAACATTGTTAACGAGAGACTTGTGGACGATAAATCCGACACCTCCTTGGGCCAGATGATCGCACTCCCGGTGATAATATTTATGAAATAGATGAATAAGTTGCCAGATTCGAGGATTACCGTGTCCTCCCCCTCTCTTCGGACCTTAGATATTCCTGTAATATCCCAGCACCACTTGTCTATCTCTTCTTCTAGCTCCAGGATCTTCGCGTCAGTCTTCAGCGTGCGTGCATTTTACGTAGCCAGGTCGACTCGGTGGCAACCAAAACCTCCACCGGAGACTCCTAGCTCACCCTCGCGCGTCACCATGCATAACCATGGTCATCACCGTAGCCAGGAATAGCGGAGCCGCCGAGGACTGGTGCCGTCTTTTTTAGCTTTCGCCAATATACTCCATATTGCCAGTTGCCACGCTTGGCGAGCGGGTTAGCAACCGCAATTTTTATTGTTTTGCTGTTATCAGAAAGATGATGCTGCTCATCTCCTGCCTCAATTTCTTCCTGTAGCCTCTTACGAAACCCACGGTAAGATAAGGGGTAGTAGATAATCTTAACCGCCACTACACCTGACCAAAATACCAAAACCTACCTACCAATCTCTCTCTCGCTCTCTTACTCCATCTGCTTCCCTCTCCCCAATTATCACTGCCTCTCTCTCTCTCTTACTCTCTCTGCTTCTATTCTCTCTCTCTCTCACTCTCTCTGCCTCTATTCTCTCTCTATCTAGCTCTCTATGCCTCAATTCTCTCTCTCTCTCTCTCTCTCTCGAACTCTGTCTATATTCTCTTTCTCTCTCTCTCTCTCTCTCTGCCTCTATTATTTTTCTAACTCTCTCTGCCTATATTCTCGTTCTGCCTCTATTCTCTTTCACTCTTCTTTACGCTCTCACATTTACTCTCTGCATCTACGTGACTTAGCGTCTGCCACCACAGATTCCACTTCACGTGAGGATGCCTCGTGTAGAAATGAAACACGAGTCTTACTATTGACGGTGATGTGTCTTTTCTAGTGTAGTGGTGCTGCGATTAGTGATGACAGGGATGGTGCACGCAATTAAGGAAAGGTGGGAGGTACTCTTCAAAGTAAGTAAGACATATAATTTCATTTTATTACACGGATCTTAGCAAAATTAATTTTTAAAATTTTTTTAATTTCTGTAGATATTCATTTTATACAACGATTGGGTTACCCAAAAAAAATTACGCACAAAAAGGTGAAATTGCACCTCCCCCTGTTTCCAATTTTCATGTATTTTAGAATGTTTTTTTTTTCCTAATTTTAATTGAATATCGGGTCTTTTTAAAAATCCGTACCCAGACAACTGCTAGACGTGTGAATCTCTCATATTAGCTCACTCCCCGTAGCCGTAGGTACTAATACGTTGCTGAGTACTGGTACAAAGTTAGTCGCTACTTACGACATTCGCGGAATGAGACAGTTTGATTAGTCATGGACCATCATAAATCAGTACTGCAAAAGATCGACACAAATGGCACATGATGGAGACGGTATCGCACGCACTTGGCACGCACGCACTCGTACACCCGCACAAGGACACTACAAAAGATGACACAATTCTAGCCAGTGGGTAGGATATAAAAGGGTGTGGACGTTACCGAGCAGCAACTTGGAGAGGCCGACGATGAGAACGGCGCGGCCGGCGTGCGCTTGGGCGGCCGCGGCGCCCAGCGCGCGCTCCAGCGCCAGCGCGCGCTCCAGCAGCTCCAGCACGCTGCACAGCGCGCTCTCCACGTACTCCTGCAGAGGTTACCCGTGTACACGTGCCCGCCCACACAACACATCACACCCTTACTTATTCAAATTTTTTTATAGAATAAGGGTGACAAACAAGCTGTGTGCTTGTTTCCACCTGTTGATAAATAGATGCTGTGGCTCATAGACATCTACATTTAACCTCAATTAAGAATCAAAATGCATATGCATTGTCACCCCTGAGAACAAAGATGGAATGCCTCGATTCCAGCAAAACGGGTCTCCGGTTCTCTACACTCACCACTCGAAACACAACAGTATTATGGTGCTATTGTACACTGGTATTCTGTGAGAGCATGGTCCATCCCCGGTCGAGCTGACCCATTCATGCTACAACCATAATTTACCATAATTATTATGATTTATGACTATATATATATATATATATATATATATATATATATATATATATATATATATATATATATATATATATATAGTTACATTGCGAAATATATATATATATATATATATATATATATATATATATATATTTCGCAATGTAACTGTTAATTATTCATTTTAAAGATATGTGGCATTTTATCAATTCTTTATCTTTTATATCTGACAAACTACCTATTTTCTTATTTTGTATACAAATATGATTAATTATTTTATTTTTCAATACATAAGGAATGTAAACGTATTTTAAGATTGTGTATTGGCGTTTTGGAATGCGTTCTGTTAGCGACATGGGTTCATTTTAATTAATAAATTCTTGACTTTCAGCCTTGCAGCCCAAATCACTAGATTAATTATAGTGTTGTTATTTTTCAAAAAGTAGCCAAATTTTAGACTTAATTTGAAATATACATATAAATAATGATATAACGTAATGGTAGTTTTAAAAATACGAGTAAATTTTTTTTATTTGAAATTATCCCAAACTGAATGTGATTTATGAGCAACGTTTTTTGCCTACCGACCGACCCTTACGAATGTGTGCGTGTGCAGTAAAATCATTTAAAATAATGCATTACCGCGTGGCTTTTTGAATTATTTTAAAGATGAATAGTACAAAACGTTGAAATTTACTTTTATTATGTTTTCTTCACCATTTGCTTATATTACTTACATATACATATATATATATATATATATATATATATATATATATATATATACATACATATACATATACATATATATATATATATACATATACATATATATATATATATAATATATGTGTATAATATGTGTGTATGTGTGTGTGTGTGTGTGTGTGCGTGCGTGCGTGCGTGCGTGCGTGCGTGCGTGCGTGCGTGCGTGCGTGCGTGCGTGCGTGCGTGCGTGCGTGCGTGCGTGTGTGTGTGTGTGTATGTGTCGGCACGTCTACAAAATACTAGTTAGACCGAGGGTAAAAAGGTTATTATTACTCTAACAAAGCGTCGTATCGTTGGTAACGTGGCAACCGTTGTTGTTTATAGGATTTTTGAGAAAAATACAATCTGGAAGCGCACCATATATTTGCGACGAATTGCTAACGATCTGCTAATTGCAGTTTCTTGTATTTTATTTTGTAATGCACGCATGTCTGCGCCATCCGTCATGAGTGCATCTCAGGATCCTCTTTTACCTCTGTGGAATGGTATGCTGTCGGCTTGGGTCGCCGGGGGCGGATTATTTACCGCTGCTGTCGACCGACATGTCTTAATTATAGGAGGATACGTCAGGAAAGTAAATTTGTCCAAAATATCCGAAATAACCCGTCCTTGCCCCAGCAAGACCTAGGCATTTCCCTATTTATAAAAAGAACTAGAAATGCACACTAGAATGTTTATTTCCTACCATCTACAAGCGTGATCTTGAATTAACTTCGACCAGTTTCTATGTTTAATTACTATAATTAAATTTCCTTCCGCTCAGCATTTTGACCCCGGTGTACAGAGAATCGGTGTGTAATAGTGGAGACGAACTGTCCACTATTAACAGACTCCGAGTGGTTTTCTTTAAGGTGGAGAAATGAAACTACTGTTTATGTTCATGAATGTACTGTCGAATGGGATTCGGAATGGAATATATTTTGCATCAACCTTGCCTATATTTATATGGCTGGCTCACTATTGATTTGCCAATGGTAACAATTAATATTTTGCCTAGCCAATTATATTGCTTATTTTATGACCAATGAAAACTATTTAAAATATACAATTATCTACGTTTCGTTTCCCGGCGTGAGACTTGTTTGTTGTTCACGAAGCTACGTCGCTGGACCGGGCTATATAAGACATGCAGATCGGTGCGCACGCGTAGTCGGCGGGCGGCGGCGGTGTGGCATACAGCTCCGGAACAGCAAGAGGAAACGAACTGCGGCGTTGAAGAAACGGCTCACCATTGGTCGACGGATACGTGACGATAGCGGCGTGTGAAGTCGGTGTGGCGCTGAATGATATTTGCGGCTGCTTCTTGTTTCTTTATAAGAACGTCAAATTATCTATATACAGTCCGCAGTATCTCAGTAGCCAAGAATAATTAGGAAATAAAATGTTTTTTTATTTATTCTCGCCTTCCGCGTTATGGTAGCAGCGGAGTATATATTATTTATTCCCGTTTAGGTTTGATTAATCTGGCTGCTACATCACTCTCCCCCCAGCGAAAGCGTACCGGAGGCTTGACGACTCGCCCGTATTTCGTAGTTTTTAAAATAGGTTTCAACTGGGTTGATGTAGATGATGAAGTTTCAAGCTTCCTCGCTGGTGGTTTTGATGATGATGATGAATCCTCTGCAGTATCCTCGTTAATAATATAGGCAGGCTTTAGTCGGTCGATCGATATAATCGTTGATTTCCTTCCGGGTATTTGTAGTTTAAAAGTCTTGCTATTTCTCTCTAATACTTTATACGGTCCATCGTAGGTAGGTTGAAATTGTTTTTTCATTGCGTCGTTTCTTACAAAAACTTGTTTGCATGTTTTCAAATCTTGGTGAATGAATACTGATTTATTATTTCTGTGTGATTGCATTTCGGTGCATTTCAACGATAAGGCTTTGTTAATTGATTCTCGAAGTTTAGTTACGAAATCGTAATCCATTTCTTGTTTGTTTGACGCTGCTGAACTGAAGAAGTCACACGGCAGCCTTATGCTGCAGCCGTAGGTTAGCTGAGCGGCGCTAAGACTAGTGTCTGCACGCGGTGTTGCTCGTAGTCCGAGTAGCACTGTAGGTAGCTCATCAATCCACTTTGTATGTTGAGATAAACGAGTTTTGAGTGCAGTCTTTAATGTACGATGCCATCGTTCGATTATTCCGTTTGACTGAGGATGGTATGCTGTTGTACGCGTCTTCTGTATTCCCATAGTTTGAAGAAGTTTGAGGAATAGGTTGCTTTCGAAATTCCTTCCTTGATCCGTTGTGATGGTTTTAGGTGATCCGAAACGAGTAATCCAATTTTCATAAATTATCTTCGCGACGGATTCGGCTGAAGTATCATCGGTAGGTATTGCTTCTGGCCATCTTGTTGTTCTGTCGATCATTGTTACGAGATAACGATGTCCTTGCGGTGAAGTAGGTAATGGTCCAACGATGTCAACGTGCAAGTGTTCGAATCTCTCCGTGGGTGGAAATGTAGCTAGACTACTTGATGTATGCCTTTGAACTTTGCATTTTTGGCATTGAATGCATTGCTTCGCCCAGTTGCCAACATCCGCTTGCATTGCAGGCCAAAAGAATTTTTCAGTGATGAGTTTTCTTGTTGTTCTAACACCTGGATGACTAATGTTGTGCAGTGTATTGAAGACTTCGCGACGACATTCTTCTGGTATGTATGGTCGCATGGTTGTCGTTGAGGCTTCACAGTATATAGGTAGATGCGTCATTGGCATTGTAACTTGCTTGATGGACAAGTTACCTTGCTTCGCTAGATGTTTTATGTTGTCACTATCTCTGTCTTGTGCTGCGGCGATCTTATGATAGTCGATTGATGTAGGGCACGTTACACTGTCGATTGGTACGCGACTGAGTGCGTCGGCAACTACGTTGTCCTTTCCACTGATGTGACGTATGTCGGTCGTGAATTCACTTATGAAAATAAGTTGTCTTGCTCTTCGTGGTGTTTCCGATAGTGATGGTTTCTTTGGAAGTACATATGTTAATGGTTTGTGGTCGGTAAAAACGATCAGGTTTCGACCCTCGAACGTTTTTCTGAAGTGCTTGCTAGCCATGTAAATAGCGAGTAGCTCTCGGTCGAATGTACTGTAGTTACGTTGAGTATCGGAGAACTTCTTCGAAAAATATCCAAGTGGTTGCCATTTCCCATTGCTGTATTGTTGGAGAACTGCTCCTGCTGAGAGATCGGATGCGTCGCTGAAGATAGCAAGGGTTGCTTCGTGTGATGGGTGAGCGAGTAAAGCTGCATTTTGGATCGCAATTTTACAAGCTTCAAATGCCTTCGTGGCTTCATCGTTCCATTCGATTGACGTTTTATCTTTTTTCTTCGTGTTGTGAAGGTAGGCGTGAAGTGGTGCTTGGATTTCAGCGGCTTTAGGTATGTGTTCTCTGTAAAAATTTATCATCCCAAGAAAACGCCTTAGCTCTTCGATAGTTTTAGGTTTTGCATAATCGATGATTGCTCTGACTTTTTCGGCAGGCGGTTTTATTCCTTCCTTGCTGACGGTGAAACCAAGAAATTGAACTTCTTGCTGTCCAAATATGCATTTCGAAGGGTTGATTGTGATTCCGTTGTCTTCTAATCGCTGTAGCACGGTGCGTAGATGGGTTTCGTGCGTTTCTTTATCAGGGCTTGCAACAAGGAGATCATCAATAAATGCGAAAACGAAATCCAGTCCATGAAGTACTTCGTGTATGAATCTTTGGAAAGTTTGACCTCCGTTCTTTAATCCTGGGATCATTCTTGGGAATTCGAATAATCCCATTGGGGTAATTATTGCTGTCTTCTCTATGTCTTCATCGCGGACTCTTATTTGTTGGTAAGCTCGGTTGAGATCGATGGTGGAGAATATAGTCTTGTCTAATAGTTGATGAGTGAAATCCCTGACTCGCGGTATTGGGTAGCGGTCAGGAGTGGTAATAGAATTCAGTCTTCTGTAATCTCCACAAACTCGTAATTCTCCGTTCTTCTTCGGTACAATGTGAAGTGGTGATGACCAAGGGCTTTTGCTTGGACGGCATATTCCTTGCTCAATCATGTTTTCGAATTCCTTTCGAACTTGCTCGTATAGGTGTGGTGCGATTGGACGTGCACGACAATGAAGTGGTGGTCCATTGGTGTCGATGAAATGCTCAACGTCGTTCTTCGGTGTTAATTTCATTGAAGTTATTCTTGTGATACCAGGGTATTCTTCGAGGATCTTGTGATACGGTTGTTGCACATCTATGCTTCTTATTGTGGGCAGATTGGTTGCTTGTACAAAAGACTGAGATGCAAGATTGGTTTTCCCGTCGATAATTCTTCTATTTTTGATGTCGACGACCAACTGGTGATGTTGAAGAAAATCAGCACCGATGATTGGTTTGCTGACTTTAGCGACAATAAATCTCCATTTGAATGGTCGGCGTAGATTAAAATCAAGTTCCATTGTTTTTTCTCCATATGTAGGAATAACCGTATTGTTTGCTGCATAGAGTTGAAAATCTAGTGGCTTCAACTTCTGTCCTTGCTTCGGCGGTAACACTGAGATATTTGCTCCGGTGTCGATAAGGAAAGTAAGCTTGCTTTTTTTATCGGTGACGAAAAGACGGTAGGACTTTGCTGTTACGCTGGATCCCGTCGCATCGAGCGTACTAGTTAGTTTTCCGTATTCGTATTTTCATTTTTGAATGTACACGGTGCTGTGGATTTTCTTGCCTCGACCCCGAAACGTCGATGATAGTAGCAGTAAGGGGATCTTGATGTTGAGCTTATTCGACTTCTAGTTGCAGAGCGGTTGCGACGAAAAGGTGATCTTCGGTGTTGCTGATTGCGCTGGTTGTACTGTTGCTGGTAAAAGGTATGATGCTGGGAAGCTTTGAGCGCGGCGACTTCGAATGATAGCTTCCGAATTTCTTCGAGAAGAAACTGGGTATCATTGGCCTTTGTTGAAGTGCCTTCGATGATCGATATGTGTGAGCTACTGCTGTTTTCGATCATCTTGTCCGCCAGGAGTGCCAGTTCGTCGAGCTTCGTCTGCGTGCTGAATGTTTCGCTGACTGCTATTACCGATCGAATATGTGGTGGTAGGTGGTTTACCCACATTAGCCGTAGTGTTGAATCCGGAACTTTATCTCGCGCCAAAGTACGCATTTTGCGTAGGAGTTGTGTGGGTTTCTGGTCTCCAAGTTCTATTTCTGATAGAAGTTTTTGTAGCTGTCGACTGTCGGATTCTTCGTATGCGGAGATCAGACGATCCTTCAGTGAATTATACTGGTCGACTGCTGGTGGGTTGTACAACAGGTCCGCAATTTGTTCGATGTCTTGTTTCTCAAGTTGGGCTATCACCATCTGTGCTAATTGCGCTTGGCTCTTCTTTAAACCATTCGTTGCGGCTTCAAAACTGACGAACCAAAGTCGTGGTTTGTCTCTCCAAAACGGTGGTATTCTTAACGATAGAGATATACCGGCGATTTCTGGTTCCTTTACCGGGTTTGATGTATATGTGTTTGCCTCCTGCTCCATAATGACGGCTTGATTACACTGATTTTATATAAACTGAAGTCTTCCTTCTCGGTTCAAGTACGGGTTTGCTTCGCGGTGTTCGTGCAATAGTAGTGGTACGTCGCAGGGTGTTCCTTCTTGGTGTTCGTACCGGATCTTCCCCCTCGGTGTTCGTACGGGGTCACCACTGTAATAGTGGAGACGAACTGTCCACTATTAACAGACTCCGAGTGGTTTTCTTTAAGGTGGAGAAATGAAACTACTGTTTATGTTCATGAATGTACTGTCGAATGGGATTCGGAATGGAATATATTTTGCATCAACCTTGCCTATATTTATATGGCTGGCTCACTATTGATTTGCCAATGGTAACAATTAATATTTTGCCTAGCCAATTATATTGCTTATTTTATGACCAATGAAAACTATTTAAAATATACAATTATCTACGTTTCGTTTCCCGGCGTGAGACTTGTTTGTTGTTCACGAAGCTACGTCGCTGGACCGGGCTATATAAGACATGCAGATCGGTGCGCACGCGTAGTCGGCGGGCGGCGGCGGTGTGGCATACAGCTCCGGAACAGCAAGAGGAAACGAACTGCGGCGTTGAAGAAACGGCTCACCATTGGTCGACGGATACGTGACGATAGCGGCGTGTGAAGTCGGTGTGGCGCTGAATGATATTTGCGGCTGCTTCTTGTTTCTTTATAAGAACGTCAAATTATCTATATACAGTCCGCAGTATCTCAGTAGCCAAGAATAATTAGGAAATAAAATGTTTTTTTATTTATTCTCGCCTTCCGCGTTATGGTAGCAGCGGAGTATATATTATTTATTCCCGTTTAGGTTTGATTAATCTGGCTGCTACAGGTGTGAGTTACCTTGCCGGGAGCGGGCATCTCGTCCAGCAGCTGGTTCGCTTGGTCGAGGCTGGTGAGCACGAGCCGCAGCAGCTCGGAGTCCGTGTGCAGCTGCAGCAGCAAGCAGAAGCCTGGCGGCGCCTCTGTTTCCGCCTCGCGGCCGGCCGGCGGGAAGTCAGATGCCGACGGCTCGTACTGCTCCAGCCAGCGCGCGAACAGCCGAAAGCACAGCGACAGCACCTGCCGCAAGGACAGATTCATTATTTATTTTTTAACCATAAACTAAAAGGCTCGGTTGCTCAAGAGATAAGCGCGTTATTCATATACGTGAGTAACCTGGATTCGATTCTCGTCGGCAACAGTGAAATGATTAAATGCTATTTTGCGCTCGGCGGTTGAGGAAAACATCGTAAGGAAATTCACATGGCTGAAAGATACCGCCAACACGCACTGTAACAGCGCCACGGAGTAATCGCTCGGAATGAGAGGAGGTCTGTGCTCAATAGTCATCGCGTAAGCGTCACAGCGCGGCTCTTTTATGCAACTAGAATAAAATATAAGGAATATAAGTGGTTAATTCGACGAGATCTACTCAGGCTAAGACAAAGCGCGACCAGCCGAGGGAACGTAGGCAGTACTAAGCTGATATGCTTCTCTCGGTTGATATTGTGTATTGCAATTTTAAGTGTTGATATACTACGTGCTCGACAGCGAAAGAAAATATCGTGAGGGTACCTGCACCTCTGAGCAAATAAAAACATATTTCGAAGACATATGAAATCCGCTAACACACCTTGGGGCAGCGCAACGAACATTTCCTTGCCCTTACTCGTGAAGTGTAATAAAACTGTAACTTTAATTTACTTATTGCTATGTAATGGTCATTTTGTGGTTGTACGATTCGCCAATTACCACAGGCAAAGGTTTTATACTATACAGCCTAAGTCTGATTTGTATCTTATTCACAAAACTCTGTACAATATAACTGATGCGTGTCATTGTGAATTTCTTAGGAGATTTCAACTCAACTTTTCTCATTGTGACAGTTGATAAATGTAATATCTCAAGACTCCTAAACGTATAAAAAATACTGAGATTTATATTACATCGAAACTATTGTATCGTTTTTACTAATAGTTCCCATGCGCATACAGTTAAAACACAAAATCAAACAAATTTTATTATGTAAATCCACTTTCTATGTGTTATTAAAAACGATAAAACTGAAGCAGCAATCCGATGACGGTCAAAACCCCTAAAACTGCGCTACGTGTTGGATGTAGGAAGTTGGGTGTTTACTGGGCGTAGGATATCAGGCGTTGGATGTTGGGTGGTGTGTTGTGGTGCTGGGTGCTGGCTGTTGGTTGGGTTGTTGGGTGTTGTATGTTTGGTGGTAGATGTTCGATGTCGGGCGTACCTGCCACTTTTCATGCGGCACGGCGTAGCGGCGGTTGGGCGCGGGCAGTGCGATGCGCTGCAGCACGTACTGCACGTAAGGCTGCAGACCGGCGCCCAGCGCGCGCGGCACCGGCGCTGCTGCGCACAGCGACTCCAGCAGCGACAGGAACGCCCGCGACAGAGGATACTCCTCCATGCGGCACTCCCCCTACACGACATATAGCAGTTTTTCAAATGAAAACTTGTTTCGGCGCTTTAGGCGATTTTTTAAATAGGTAAAATGCTATGAGTTCGCATCATCCATGTGCTAATTTTAACATTAAGCAGTATAAATGCGTAATGGGGAGTACGTGACGTGTGACGTGCGACCCGAGCGTACGCCGGTCGGCGTACACGAGGCGCGCGGCGTCGATTGCGGCCCACACGTGCAGTATGTGTGACGTGTGACGTGTGAAGTTTGAGTTGTGACATGTAATGTGTGATGCACCTCGTGCAGCTCCGCGGCTAGCGCACGCCGGTCGACGTGCACCAGGCGCGCAGCGTCGAGAGCGGCCCAGACGCGCGGCGCTGTGGCTGCACGCGCGCCCAGCGCCGCCAGCGTGGTGCACAGCTGCGCCTTCAGCTGCAGCGGCACGTGGCAGCATATCAGACCTGCACACGCACAACCACCACACCATAACAAACATAAAACAGTCTTTTGAAAAGGTATAGGCTACACCATTTGCCCTTTTTTAAAAAAAAGTGTGTGTGCTTATGATCACACGATAAAGTGAAAACAAAAAATAATATTTTTTTTATTATTATAACAGTGAATAATAAAAAGTAATTATTGGAACTACGCACTCCTTGATTCGATTGAAATTAAGTACACACGATTCGACACGATCCGAGCGCAATTGATGTCAAGCGCAGGCGAGTAAACCCAATTCAGCGTCACCGACCCGAACGTGATGGTTCATTTTCGTTCACTATTTAGAAAGAATGCGCCTAAAGTACTTCAAAATATTGAATAAAACTATTATTTACGGATTTTATCGCGTTTAATTCAACTTTAATTTATTTTTATTATCCCGACGTTTCGGGTGCTTTACAGCACCCGTGGTCACGGGGGGACTGAGATGTTGGTCACGGGGGGGACTGAGATGTTTGACGTCCCAATGTCATAGTTAGTCCGGCTACCTTCAGTTTTTGAATATTAATTTTTGGTCATTTTGCGTAAATCGGACCAAAAATTAATATTCAAAAACTGAAGGTAGCCGGGCTAACAATGACATTGGGACGTCAAACATCTCAGTCCCCCCGTGACCATGGGTGCTGTAAAGCACCCGAAACGTCGGGTTAATAAAAATAAATTAAAGTTGAATTAAACGCGATAAAATCCGTAAATAATAGTTTTATTCAATGTGTAGTGTTCGCGTAAATTTAAGAAATCATTACTTCAAAAATAGTTGCCCTATCACGATGCTCTAAATAACGTCATCCGAAGGACTTGTCTAATTGTAAATGTCAATGTAATTAAAAATAGTAATGAATGTTTTCTTCTTACCAAACATGCAGTTAACAGCGTCCCATTGTAAGTTTTCACAAATTGCAGAGCAAGCCGCTTCATCCACGCGGGCTACTGCTGTTATAAGCTTCAATGCTGCTATCATTGCTTCCACCTGGTATGAAAACATATTTAGTATTGTATAAATGAACCAGTGGACTACAGTCCCACACAATACTTCCAAAAACATATGACTAAACACTTCACCATTTAAGTGAAAACGCATAATGCAGAATAGTAGTTTGGATAACAGTAAAAAAAATATTTTTATATTTTGCAATTTTTTCTATATGACTGTGAAAGTGAAACAAATATTTTAAAATTGCTTCTATAATTTTCAAAATGTTATTTTTTCACTCTCACTGAAATTTTCTAATTTCTAATTTGCCTACCTCTTCTTGTCTCACTAGCAGCTTGCCGGGTCTGGCAGCAGGTGTTATTATTGCAGAAGCACCAAGTGAAGATGAGTGCAGATGATCGGAGAATGGAGCAGGATCGGCTCGAAGGTTTCTGTATAACATGGAACAAAGTATGAGTTATACATTATGATGCTTCAAACATATAGTAAACGTTATGTTTGTCACTAATTTATAAAAATAAATAAAATTAAAGTGTCTGTTTGTAATGTCAAAATAACAGCTTTTTACTAAATGCATATCAAAGTATATACGGTAGTTATAGCAAGAAAAAAAAACAATTTTTAAAATTTTTGTCCGTCTGTCTGTTTGTTCCGGCTTGTCTCCGAAACGACTGGACCACATTTGACAGTACTTTCACTGGGGGATAGCTGGTGTTATAAAGTGTGACTTAGACTAGTCTTCTACTTCTTTAGAAAAAGAATTAGGGTTCCGTGCAAAAAAAGCCCATGAAATTCAATCGTAATAAATTTCACGCGGGCGAAGTCGCGGGGAACAGCTAGCTACAAATAAAACCTTTAATGAAGATTAATTTTATACAGACAGATTTTACGACGTACCTAGGCTGTACTAAAAGTATCGGGAATGGAATATTTCCACTGTACCTGTCATATTAAAATCTTTTTAATTGAAAACTCCTTGGTTTTAAAAATCGAATACCATTTATTTATTTAAAAAAAAGATTCTCGGTCTTGTCACAAACAAGGTTTTTTCAAACTTGTTTAGTCGTTGAGGAAAGGGAATTAACTCGATAAAATTCAAAAGCGATGATTTATTATGACTTTCGAAGTGGTTTAACACAAAAACAGTGTGTTGACCGGATGATTTTTGCATTTGGTTTTTTTTATAGAAGAGGGGGCAAACGAGCATGCGGTTCACCTGATGTTAACTGACTACCGCCGCCCATGATCAACCGCAACACCAGGGGAATTGCAGGTGCGTTGCCGGCCCTTTAGAAAGGAGTAAGCTCTTTTCTTGAAGGTCCCCAGGTCGTATCGGTCCGGAAAAATCGCTGGTGGTAAACTATTCCACAGAGAGGTTGTACGCGGAAGAAACCTCTTGAAACGTTGGTGATGAAGCCCCATTCAAAACCACAATTTATCGCTGGTTTGCTGAATTTCAACGTGGATGTGTCAAGCTCAGTGATGATCCCCGTCAAGGTCGTCCAAAAACTGCAGTCACGCAAGAAAACGTTGATGCTGTGCGTAAGCTGATTGAGGAAGATCGACATGTGACATACCGCGAAATTCAGGCAACTTTAGACATTGGCATGAGTCAAATACAAATAATCTTGCATGAACAATTAGGTGTAAAAAAGTTGTTTTCCCGGTGGATATCGCATTCGCTCTGTGAAGAGCAAAAAGCGGCTCGCGTTACTTGGTGCGTCAGAACTCTCGAAAGATTCCACGCAGGATCCTCAAATGCTGTATACAACATCGTATCAGGTGATGAATTCTGGATATATGCGTACGAACCCGAAACAAAAAACAGTCACGAGTTTGGGTGTTCGAAAATGAGTTAAAGCCAACAAAAATCGTTCGTTCACGGAGTGTTGCAGAAAAAATGGTGGCTACGTTTGTCTCCAAAACCGGCCATGTTACGACTATTCCTCTTGAGGGACAAAGAACGGTTAATACAGAATGGTATGCTAGCATTTGTTTGGCACACGTTGTTTCTGAACTCAGTAAAGAGAACTGCAACCGCCGCATCATCCTCCATCACGACAATGCGAGTTCTCACACCGCACACAGAACAAAAGAGTTTTTAGAGTGAGAAAACATTGACTTATTAGACCATCCGCCGTACAGCCCTGACCTAAGCCCTAATGATTTCTATACTTTCCCTAAACTAAAGAATAAATTGCGTGGACAGAGATTTTCATCAACTGAAGAAGCTGTGGACGCCTACAAAACGGCCATTTTGGAGACCCCAACTTCCGAATGGAATGGTTGCTTCAATGATTGGTTCCATCGTATGGAAAAATGTGTCAAATTTCGCGGAGAATACTTCGAAAAGCAATAAATACATTTTTAAATAGTAATGTTGTGTCACTTCCTTGATTCCCGAAATTTTCAGTGCCGCCCTCGTAATATGCAATATTTAATTAGGTACTTGAAAAGAATCATTAAATTTTTTATCGTTACAGCCTATCAAAAGTCCACAGCTAAACATAGGCCTCCCCATGGATGTATTCATAAAGGGGATATTTGCCACAGTTGCCACGTTTTATAGCTGGGTTGGCAACAATAGTTTTTTTACTGTTAGTTTTTTTTATTATATATATAACTGTAACTGTTCCCAATTAATGATCCTTTTATTATCTTTCCGTTTTACCGTATAGAGGCGATGTAACAAAATCCACTACCGTATATCATCCCATGGGTGTCAAAAGAAACAAATCAGGAGATAGCAAGCAGCGTTTTTCTAATAACAACCAAAAATAAAAACTGTGTTTTCTACCTGCTTGCCAGGCGTGGCAACTATGGTAAACTTTGAGGTAATCTAAGGTAGTAGACATGTGTCATTCTTTCATTTCTAGTGACCGAATCATTCAAATACTTTTCGTCACACGTACCGGTACATTCAGGTCGATCATTCAAATGGATCATTTCGGGCTCCAGTACTCTGTAAGTCTGTGATCTGTGAGAGGTAGAAGCCTACATTCAGCAGTGGACTTTAATAGGCTGTAAAGGTAATTCCCCTTAGGAGAAACGTAGGCCATATTGAGCATGCTGGTGAGTAGTGTATATGGTGGTGGGGGTGGTAGTGGTGGTAGAGTTGCACCGAGTACCGACCGGTAGTAGAGCTGCAGCGCGGTGAGGAGGTGGTGCGCAGAGAGCGCGTCGCGGCGCGCCAGCAGCGCCCAGGTGTGGCGCGGCGTGGCCAACGCGGCCAGCGCGCGCAGGTAGCCGGCCAGCAGCGCCGCGCACACCGCCTCGCCTGACAGCCGCACGAACTTGTACAGCGTCGCCGCGCGCCCGCCCGCCCTGCGACACACGCACATACTACACCCTGTTTCACACACTAAGTATTTACACCAGGAGCACATAAACATTAAGGGATACATCATGTTGCATAAACCAACAGTGGCACGAGCTTGTACAGCGTCGCTGCGCGTTCACCCGCCTCACCATGTCATTCATACACATACGTGCGGTGCGGTTAAATAGTGGGATTGAAAATGGCATCGCCTATATTCACCTCTCGCTAGCACACTATCGCGATTTATACTCACACCCGACAGTAAAGAATGCAAAAAATAAGTCGTGATATGCATTTTTCATACGCTCTATAATAACGTCAGTCAAATTTGTCATTGGAATCAATGATAACGTGCCGCTAACTACAAAAAAAAATTCAGTCCTATTTCGCATATTTGTGTACTACGACGCATTTTGAGAGTTTTCTTCATAATTATTGTTGATTTCGTTTGTTAATTATGTTTGTATAAAATATTTACATGCTACTGAGACGTTGCTTAGGTGCTTGAAACTTTAGTTTGTCTGTCTATCCGAGCTAATCTTCGCAATGGCTTAATCAATAATTGTAATAATACTTCACGAATAAATAATACCAGCAGTAATCTAGACTAATATTTTTTTTATAATAGTTATATTGATAAGGTAATATAAATTAGCGTCTTTAATGATTATCTATTATATCTAAGTCTAAATGATGACACATTAATAGATCCCACTCAGGCGAAGCCAGAGCACGTCTTCAGTTATAAATGTTATATTAACATTAAGGTACCTATTTCAATATACAATTCTTTTCAAACATTTTCCTATTAATAGAAAATTTCCAATGATGCGAATAATATATAACGTCATAACAGCATACCGTTATTAGCGTGTTTTCGCTATTGGTACTGTGCATGTTGACGGTACTGACTCGATGAGCCGCCATTTCTAACCCCATTCTTTATCTGAACGGACTGTAGTAACAAATACACCCCATTCTGCATTATTAGATTCTAAGAAATATAGAATATATAGTATAGAACATACTAGAAATGTATGAGTGCGCAGGCAGCGATGTCAGATGCTGGTGATCACGATGCCATCGCTAGCGCAACACGCTGTACATGGACTGCCGCAATACTCCCCAGTAATCGCGGTGCAACTGGAGCTGGTCGCTACCGCAACGTACCAGGAGCACAGAGGCGCGCAGGAGGCGGTACCTGATGGCGGCAGGCGCGGCGTCGCAGGCACTCCAGTAGTCGCGGCGCAGCTGCAGCGGGGCGCGCGCGTACAGGCGCTCGACGCAGCGCAGCAGCGCGCCCAGCTGCGTGCGGCCGGCGCTCTGCCCGCCCGGCGGCGCCAGCCCCTCCGACGCGTACATCTGCACGGCGCGCGCCGCCTCGTCCGCTCTGAACACAAAACAGCTTATGTACCAATTTATTAACCGCAGATTTTTTTAAATTCAAAGTTGTCATATATGTTGCCGCCCAACTCTTTTTTCAGTTTGCCTCCTTCGCGTCTTACGACACCCACGGGACGATGTAGGGCAGTGGATATTCTTACACCAGCACTATACGGAACACGCTCTGAACAACGCAACAATCCCAGCAATGTACAGTAGAAATGTTACCCGCAGACCGACAAAGAAACAAAGACGGAACGAAACCATTTGCGAACTGCAAGATTTTATATGTGGTAGAGCCAAGTTTTTACAGAGCTATTTTTCAACGAGTATCTAAATTTAGGTTTAAATTCAAATATATAATATCAAATATATCGTTACTGCAGTTTTTGAAAATACGAGTAAATAAGATTTCAATTTTTTTTGAAGTTATCCCAAATTGAATGTGAGTTATGACAACAAATACGAGTACTCGCACCCTTGTGCGAGCGACCCTTACGAATGTGTGCGTGCGAACTAAAATAGTAGGCGTTTGATATTTATGAACGATAATCAGTTAATATAATGCATCACCACACATTTTGAATTTACGATAAAAAGGACAGAATGTTTGAGATTTTTACAATTAATTTTTCTTCACCATTCTTAAGCTTCACTGCAATATATTGCAAAAAAAACCCTGTATATAGCTATCATGGTTGTAGCACAAATGAGTCGGCTCGACCGGGGTATGACCACACTCTCACATAATAACAGCGTAAAACAGTACAATAAGCTGTGTTTGATATGATGAGTGTAGAGAACTGGAGACCCTTTTTACCAGATGCGAAGCATTCCATTTTAAACCTCAAGGTTGACAAAGCATTTTGATTCTTAATCGATGATAGATGTAAATATCTATTGGTCGTCGACTTAACATCAGGTGTGCTGTGTAGATGTAACGGACGCGCGAGGAGCTTCGACACGTCCATTGCTAGTAATATGGAGTCAAAAATATTATGCATCTAAATATATGTACATATAAATTTTACACAATAATGGAATATCTTAAAATTTAAACATATATAAAAAATACACTCTCAAAGTACAGAGAGAACGAGATAAGAGTGTTGAGTTATACACAGAAATCCTAAAAAATTAATTTTTCATGTTATAGGTAAGCTTTTTTTATATAGAAAAGGCAAACGGGTATAGGGCTCACCTGATATGATAGTAAGTGATCACAGAAATCCATGAACATCAGTTTTGTTAAAATTTTATCAGTTTCCTTTTATTTATTAAAAAAAAATAACTTTATGATCAAAATAAGTTTTTGTGTTTCTTGAGAACATGGGATTTTTATCGTATTTTTTTATAATACAAAACTTTTTAATAAAATAGATTTATGGGAGGAGACACACAAGCCATAGCTCGCAAATAAAAGATTATTTAACGACGGCTGTCTTGTAATTATTAATATAATTTATTCGATTTCTTATACAGTATAAAGTAACATACTTGACTCTCATCTCCATTAATTTGGAATGCATGAGAACTATGAAGTCCGTTATAAGTGAATGGATGCGTCGCTGATAATATTCCTCTTTCGCCACCAGCTCCGTCGACAAAATTGCTTCATCTAAATACTCGAACACCTGAAATCATTTATTGTCTCAATAACATAATAAAAATGTATCACATAAAAAAGTAAAAGTAAAGTTACAGCCTATATACGTCCCACTGCTGGGCTCAGGCCTCCCCTCATTTCTGAGAGTGTTTAGGGCAAGGAAGTGTCCGCCGCGCTGCCCAAATGCGTGTTGACGAACTTCACATGTCTTCGAAATATTTTTTTTTCTTATTCCTCAGACATGCAGGTTTCCTCACGATGTTTTCCTTCACCGCCGAGCACGTGGTAAATCAGCACTTAAAATTGCAATTAACAATTTCATTGGTGCCGGCGGGGATCGAACCCGGGTTACTCGCGTTCTGTTATATTTACAGCGAGCGTTAACCACTGAGCTACCACGGCTCTCACATTTGTATCACATAAAAAAATATAAACCCCGCAATGAAGGTGGTGCTTGTCTATGGATATTTATGGCAAAAATAGTAGAGTAATGGCAACACTGATGATCCACTAAAAAAATGGAACTTTCCTCATACATATCCTAGGAAAATAAAACAAAATTATGTTTCCTGAAAATTATTTTTGTTGTTCATGATAAATCAAGAAAAGATACAAATGATGTGCTAAATATAATATGCCAAGTACCAAGTGTTTGAACTATATTTTTACCATATTCTTTATTTGAACATTGTACAGATAAAGAATGTACAAATCAAAAAATGTTATTTACATCTTTTACTTCAGTTTTAAAAAAAATTGAATTAACCGAAGAGTGATAGTTATAAGAATGTATACAAAAGGAGCTTGAATAAATCCTTGCGGTAAGATATATAGAAGAAATAGCTATACTAGGTTATAATAGGTACTATAGAAAAATCTAAATTAAATACAAAAAAATCACCTTTCCATCAATAGCTGCATCAACCAAAACTTCATCCTGGTCTAGTAGCTCACTCTTGATTTCCCCTGTACCTGAACCTCTCAAAATCGATTGTGGAGCTCTTTTTAAAGCTGCAAGTGCCAATCCCAGAGACAACTGGCAGAGTGCTTTCAACCCAGAACCGTTTTCTTGCCTTTCCTGTGTCTGATTAGCGGGCGGTGACAATTCGTCTAATAAAACAGAAATGAGATCCGGATCTTGGATGAGCGGTAATTTTTTAGCCAATTCTTCACCATCTTCACGTCTGCAAATTTATGTAATCCTATAAGTATATGTTTATGTAATGTATCCCATAAGTTAGCATTATATCAAATTCTTTTATTCTTTTAAGCCCTACAAACCTAGCAGTGAAGTCAGCAGAAACCTTAGAATATTATAACTAGTCTGGCCATAAATACTGTTACATAAAACTTTTCTTTTTTTTTTCAACTTTTTAATTATTTTGAATTTGGTACGCGTTCATTATTTTTAAAAGTTTTTTTAGGATTTCGCGCCATTTCCCATATTTTTTCGTGTTCATTATCAAATTACAATATGGAATGGGGTGTTAAAGAAAATAGGATCGTGGTGATCGCCTTGCACAAAGTGGATATGGAGCAGTCGGTCATATTCCATACACTTCAAAAGCTTGGTATCAACCGCATGTTTGTATATCGTACTATCAACAGATACAACACTTCCTCTATCGAAGACCATAAAAGATCGGGGTGGCCGCGTGCTGTTAGAACTACAAAAGTTGTTAATGTTGTTAAAGCCAGAATTCGTCGAAATCCCATTAGGAAGCAAAAAATATTATCGCGAGAAATGAAGATTCCCGCTAGGACTCTGTCGCGTATTATAAAACAAGAGCTCGGTGCTTATCGTTGATATAAAGGACATGCCCTAAATCAATATTTACAATTAAAGAGAGTGGATCGATCAAAACGCCTTCTGTCGCGATACGCAGGTGAAGGGCACAGAAATATCCCCTTTACCGATGAAAAAATTTTCACGATTAAAGAGCACTACAATAAGCAAAATGATAAAGTGTACGCTCATAGTTCTAAAGGAGCTGCTCAAGGGGTCGGAAAGGTACAACGTGGCCATCATCCTGCGTCAGTGATGGTTTGGTGGGGCGTGTCAAGGCGTTATCAAGGCGTCACAAAGCCACGTTTTTGTGAAAAAGGAGTGAAAACTTCAGCCAAAGTGTATCAAGAGACAGTCTTGGATCGTGTTGTGAAACCTCTCAGCAAAACACTTTTTTAAAATGTACCGAGGACTTTCCAACAGGACTCTGCACCTAGTCACAAGGCACGAACTACCTACGCCTGGCTTGAAACCAACGTTCCGGACTTTATAAGAGCTGAGCTGAGCTGCGCTCTCATATAGCCCAAACCTCAACCCTTTAGACTACAAATTACGGTCTGTTTTAGAGGACATGGTTTGGTCTAAACGACACGGCGAAATTGAGTCTCTTAAAAATCTCTGGAGCAAGCTGTGGCGAAATTTCCCATGGAAACAGTGCGTAAATCCATAGATTCGTGGCCATTAATGGCCTGTTTAAAAGCCAAAGATGAGAGGCTGATACTTTAATAAATATGTACATATACGTTTTAGTAATATTACATTACTTCATTGAAAAAAATGCATTTTCATTTGTAACAGAACTCATGGCCGGATTAGACACATATACCATTACAACTTATGAAATCAGGTGCTCAACATAGGGCTTCTCCATGGATTGCCTTAAAAGGGGGATTTTTACTACAGTTAGATAGGCAGATGGGCGGGTCGGCACCTACAGTTTTTTATTTTTTATTTGTTATTAGGAAGAAGAAGACGATTTAAAAGGGGGGATTTTTACTACAGTTAGACAGGCAGATGGGCGGGTCGGCACCTACAGTTTTTTATTTTATAGTTGTTATTAGGAAGAAGAAGACGATTTAAAAGGGGGATTTTTACTACAGTTAGATAGGCAGATGGGCGGGTCGGCACCTACAGTTTTTTATTTTATAATTGTTATTAGGAAGAAGAAGACGATTTAAAAGGGGGATTTTTACTACAGTTAGACAGGCAGATGGGCGGGTCGGCACCTACAGTTTTTTATTTTATAATTGTTATTAGGAAGAAGAAGACGATTTAAAAGGGGGTTTTATTTTTACTACAGTTAGATAGGCAGATGGGCGGGTCGGCACCTACAGTTTTTTATTTTATAATTGTTATTAGGAAGAAGAAGACGATTTAAAAGGGGGATTTTTACTACAGTTAGATAGGCAGATGGGCGGGTCGGCACCTACAGTTTTTTATTTTATAGTTGTTATTAGGAAGAAGAAGACGATTTAAAAGGGGGGATTTTTACCACAGTTAGATAGGCAGATTGGCGGGTCGGCACCTACAGTTTTTTTATTTTATAATTGTTATTAGGAAGAAGAAGATTTAAAAGGGGGATTTTTACTACAGTTAGATAGGCAGATGGGCGGGTCGGCACCTACAGTTTTTTATTTTATAATTGTTATTAGGAAGAAGAAGACGATTTAAATCCTAAAATATAAAATAAACAATAAAGACCTACATCTAGCACTCCTAGACCTAGAAAAAGCCTTTGATCGCTTCTTTCAGTTCCACGTAGGCTAGTATAGCAGGCACCTAAAAGGTGCCAGAGTATTATATCGAACTTATAAAAGATATGAACTGCAAGGCCAACACGAGAGTCAGAAGCCTAGCCGGCGTGAGTAAAGCTTTTTAAGACAAAGTGGGTGTCCATCAGGGCTCTTAGGCTCTTAGGCCCCTCCTATTCAATCTGGTGATGGACTACCTCACTAAGGATATACCTGCCCCATTGCCATGGACTATTCTATACGCGGATGACATTGTCTTAGCTGCTTATACCGCAAGCCATCTGCAGGAAATTTGTAATACTCCACGCTCTCGAAAAGTACGGCTTGAGGGTGTGTATGAGTAAAACTGAGTATTTGAAACGCCCTTTCAGCGGAAACACGGTATTTGAAACTATCTGTATTGGGAAAACATTGGGCGATCACGTACAGGGGTATTATGTGATCCACGTATTCCCATAAAAACTAAGAGCAAAGTTTATAAAACCGTAGTACGTCCCGCGCTATTGTATGGTTCCGAATGTTGGACAACAAAAACGACGCATGAGCAAAAGATTCATACTAACGAAATGAAGATGCTTAGGTGAGCGGGAGGTGTGACTCGGCTTGACAAAGTACATAATGAACATATACGTGGCAGCTTTAAAGTCGCACCTATTACAGATAAAATCATTGAAAATCGCCTAAGATGGTATGGACATATTAAAAGACGCACCGAAGATCATGCGGTTCAAATAGCTATAAGCTTGCCAGAAACAAAGAGAAGTAGAGGCCGCCCGCCAATGACCTGGTGGTCTAATTTCGCAAGAGACCTAATTAAAGCCCAGTCACCAGATGTGACAACCCAAGACCGTTTGTCTTGGCGCAAAAAAGTGAGGAGACCCAAACCAAATAAACCAAATAACGGGATCAGGCATGGAAGAAGAAGAATCGTTACTAGGAAGATGCTGCTGCCCATCTACTGGTAAGTTTCCCTTTGTCGCCTCTTACGCCACCCACACAGTTTACATGTATAAGTTATTTATGTGTAAGGTGACTGCTTCGTTTGTCTAATGGTTGTAGTAGTGCAACTGCTGATCGTGAGGTCCTGGGTTCATATCCCGGGTCGGGTAAAAAAATCAATTATTGAGTTTTTCCGTCAATAAATTCTCAGTAGCTGCCCAGAGACAGGAAGTTAGCGGTGGTCACCCCCGTGCCTCGGAAAGCACATAAAGCCATTGGTCCTGCGCCTGATCTCTCTCCGGTCGTGTCGGTTTACCATCTCATCGGATTATGAGAGTGAGGGAATAAAGAGTGCATCTGTGCTTTCACAAACACTTGGGCACTATAATTCTGTCCTGCGCCGATGGCTAGTCTCCGGTGAGGCAGGCTGTCGTGACCGAAATTCGATCTGGAGGACATTATCATGTAAGGATTAAAATCTTTAATATAAATTCACGAAACTTAACTAAAACAATTTACAAATAATTACAGTAAATCTAATCCATCAAATTACATGGGCCTTACCTGTGTAATACGGACAAGTCTAAAGCATACAGCAGTGCCATTTGCAACGCGAGTGATATGTCGTCTAGAGCTCCAGTGGGGCCATGTGACGGAGATGTCATTTGCTGTGAAATATGAATATTAATTGAAAACGTAAGCCAAACTATGACTTTCAAAGTTATTGAATAATAATAAAAAGTAACACTTACTTCTCTATATAACATAAGAAGAATATCTCTGTCGAGACCTCTTTGTGCAGATGCTGCAAATATAACACCGGCAAGTAACTTTCTGTAACAGAAATTCGAATCAAGTTTACACATACAAATATTATTTTTTTTAATTTATTATACCAGGAATTCATATTCATAAATTGTATTGTTATTTACCATGAGGTAAGTACGCTTAAATAGCAGAAATATCTTATGGCATCTGAAAGATGGTGATGGATGGTGGTGGATTACAACCATTGTTTACACATGACGTAAAAGAATCCGACTAGCAACAAGCAGCAGAGTCAAAGTCATAGCATTCTTGATTCTAGGACTATGTTTTTTGCCTAGGGTTCCGTCTGAATATGTGTCTTTTACCTATAAACTTTTTCCACACTCTCACACAGATGATTAAACAGAGACTTCCATTTGGCACAATCCTGACACACCTTTCCGGCTTCTTTCACGTCCATATACCTACGCACACATGCTCTTCGGTTAAGGATATTCTTAATTTGACCCATCTTCAATATATCACGTCAATATCAATTGTTTTATTTGTTAAAGAATAAGGTTGACAAATGAGGACACAGTCTACCTGATGGTAAGTGGATGCTGTGACCCATACACATCAGCATTTACCCCCGATTAAGAATCAAAACGCAGATACGTCGTTACCCCTGAGGACTAAGATGGAATGCCTTGTTTCCAGTAAAAAAGGGTTACCGGATCTCTACACTCACCATACAAAACACATTATTAATAAAATATATTAAGCTATTTTACGCTGGTATTCTGTGAGAGCGGAGCCTTTCCCCGGTCGAGCCGACCCATTCATGGTACAACCATAATATAGCTGCAGCGTGGCTCTACCACATATGGTCAAGAAAGCTCCGTATGTGGTCCCTTGCCAGATCTGTGACTCACTTCTGCGGAGTAAATTTGCTTTCTTCTCTCATTCCTCATACATTCTTTCTACGTGTCTAAATCACGTAAGCATTCCTTTTGTAATCCTATCTGCCACTAATAACACTGATTACGGTGCTATGTTCCAATCTGAAGGATTATGAGAGCCAGTATAACAGGTTGTGAGTTATTCCATCTTAGTCCACAGGGATGACAATGCATTTATAGTATTCTTTCAAAGAATACTATAAATGCATTGTCACCCTCAAATGTTTATGAATTGCAGTAGCCACAATATCAAATGGACTGACTGTATTTTTGTCACTTGACTTTCAAATAAAAAAGTTAAAAGTTGCGAGAGGTACTGTGACCTGCTTAGCCAAGTATTATACAGAGCAGATCCACCCAACGTCGAGGACGTCCCTTGTCAAGCGGTGGAATTTTTACAGGCTGAAGATGAGATGAAAATGCACACAAACTAACAAATAAACTGACACTTAAATTATTTGTAGAACTTAATATGTATAGTCTGAAGATAAAAAACTTTCCTTACAAGCACACAGTCCACCTGATAGTGGTTGCTGTGGCCCGTAGACATCTAGATCTATCCTCGAATATGAATTAAAATGCAGATGCATTGTCAGTTGTGAGGACTAAGATGGGATGCCTCATTTCCAGTAAAAAGGGTCTCCAGTTCTCTACACTCACCATATGAAACACAGCAGCATTAAGCTACTACATATTTTATGCTAGTATTCTGTGAGAGCATGGTCCTACCACGGTCGAGCCGACCCATTTGGGCTACAACTATACTACTAATATAACTGCAGCATGCCTCTACCACGTAGAAAACCTCCATGCATAGTCCAAAAAAATTCCGGTCAGTTCAGTTTCAAAAGAGACTAGTCATCTGCGCAGGACAGAATTATAGTGCATGAATGTGTAAGCAGGTTCACTCTCTATTTCCATATTCTAATCATCCGATGGGACGGTAATCTACAATGACCGGAGACAGCTCAAGCGTGTGACCAACGGCTTTCCGTGCGTTCCGAGGCGCGTTGGTAAAACACCGCCATCTGACTCGGGGCTGCTATTGAGAACTTCTTGACTAAAAAACGAAATAACTGAGTTTTGACCTGCGCTGGAATTGGAGCCCATTAAAGCATGGGATAATAATAATTGTTATGCCTCTACAATACGGGGGACAATTCTAGTGGTTTTTAAAATAAAAAGATATCTAAAATTGTCTCTTCACTCTTACCTAGTAGTTTCGATAGTTGTGATAAGTCGAACATGGTGGCGGCCCGGCGGAAGTGCGCGGTTGTTCTGCAACAGCTCCAGCTCAGCCTCGAGGGAGCTGCGACGAAGCGCGTCTAGAACGTTGCCTAGCAACCCATCTGCTATTAGCTGATCTACGTAGCGTGTTACGTAATTTACTATCTCTTCGCGTGCATTTATTGACCTGTTTATAACAAACATAATGGTTAAAACAGTAATTAAAAATAAATATTTGTAATTTGTAGATGCAATATATAAATATAATATAGCCTATGTCATTCCCACAAATAAATAGAATTTAAAGACACGTAAGTTAAAATCTATCAATCCGTTTAGGCTACAGAGTGTGCCAAAGAAATAGACCTACATATGTATGTACGTCTATTTCTTTGGCATACATACATACACACACACATAATGCATATAGTAACCTGGATGACCGAGCTTTGCTCGTTTTTTTTTTTTTTTTTGAAATTACATTTAGATACAAATTACATACTGATGAAACATGAATAATACTTTTTGATCTTATTGACATAATAGAAAAAACTGAACTGTTTATTTGAATAAAAAATCATGAGTGCAATTAGTTTAATTAAAATTTTCGTATTTTTAAAAAATACTAAAAAGGGCTCTACATAATAGATTTTCTCACAAAAGAAGGGAACTTAAAAAAAAAAACGGAAAAAAACTCGGACCGAAGACAGGACGCGAACCAATGCATTACGATTTCGCGATCGCTCGATATCCACTTGAGCTATTACGATCATTAATACACTTTCAAAATTTACCTTCTTATATTGTAGCCGTTTTTCATTGCCTGAAAACACAGACAAAAAGACATTTTCTAAAAATAAATCCTAGCTAGATCGATTTATTGCCCCCGAAACTCCCTGGATACAAAATTTTATGAAAATCGTTGGAGCCGTTTCTGAGATTCCGAAGAATTGCTCGTTTAAAAGTACAGGGATACATCCTGCTTTTGGGTCGGTCAAGTATTTTTTTTACACAGAAAAATTATTGATCTGCTATTGAAAATAATTAACGAATGCGTGACGTTAAAATATTGAAAAGTGGACTAACAAGTATAGCATGGCAGAGTGTCAATCAATAAGATATTTTATTAGCCTATAAACAGTTTACAAATTGGGAATGAAATTTTAGATATAAGCCAGTAATAGTCACCGCTAAACAAGTCTCTCAAAGGTCAAAGTTACGGCATACAGCGTTACTTATTGCTCAATGTACTAAGGCTGCAGAACCCATGTAGTAGTATACACAGAAGTGTTCGCTGAGCACTATAAGGTGGTCACCAGGGCAGCGCGACGACGCAGCGCGACATGGGCAGACCGCGCAGCGCCTGCACGAGCGCGCGGCGGCCGTCGTGGTGCAGCAGCACGGCCAGCCCGCGCGGTAGTGTACTTAGAAATGTTCGCTGAGCACTATAAGGTGGTCACCAGGAGACTCCGTCGCGCGCCATAAGCAGCTCGCGCAGCGCCTACACGAGCGCGCGGCGGCCGTCGTAGTGCAGCAGCACGGCCAGCAGCCCGCGCAGTAGTGTACTTAGAAATGTTCGCTGAGCACTATAAGGTGTTCACCAGGAGACTCCGTCGCGCGCCATGAGCAGCTCGCGCAGCGCCTGCACGAGCGCGCGGCGGCCGTCGTGGTGCAGCAGCACGGCCAGCAGCCCGCGCGCCAGCGCCGGGTGCCGCGGCGCCTGCCGCTGCGCCGTGTGCAGCAGCTCCAGACACACATACTCGTTCACATTGTACATGTCTGTCAAGCAACCAACCCAACATCAACCACAACTCCAATTCATAAGCTTTTTTATATAGAATAAGGGTGGAAATGAGGAGACAGTCCACCCGATGGTAGGTGGATGCCGTGACCCATATAGATCTTAATCTATCCTCAATTAAGAATCGAAATGCAGATACCACCCTTGAGGACTAAGATGGAATGTCTTATTACCCATAAAGGGATCTCTGGTTCTCTACAATCACTATACAAAACAGCAGCATTGAGCTGCTATTTTATGCTGCTATTCTGTGAGAACCAGTTTTTATCCTTCTATTGATATAAATAAATACATAATCTTAAAAGTTTTTTCTTGCATTTATACTTTACTATCTGCTATTTTTTATTTTATTAATACAAATTAAACAATGACAAAGTTTCTATCTAAATTAGTTACAAGTACTGCACTAACTAACTAACTTCAATAGAACTTTGTTTTTACCCTAATTTTGTTACTAAACTCAAATTACCTGATATAATAATAGCCTCATCAACAAGTTCCTTGGATAAGAGTGTCCTTCCTATACTGGGCAGTGTCACACCTTCTGTAACACCCCTTTTTATCTCCTCTCTGCTTGTTGGATTTTTAGGCTGCAAAATTATGTATATTGTTAACTACTTGACTACATAAAATCAATCATGTGTAGATGTGTTTATATACTTTTTAATTTTTTTATATATATATAATATGCAATAATCATTTTTCGCCTCATAGTTAACATGATTCTATCCATTACAAACAAACTTAACTAATGCACAATGCCCTTCACACAACTGACTGAAAACAATCTTATTGTTTACATGTCTCTATTTATCTTGTCTGAAGCAGATACGACAAATTTTCATTCATTTGTTTCATTTAGAGGTTAAATGTAAATCTATGGGCCACAGGATCAACTTACCATCAGGTGGACTGTGTGCTTGTTTGTTACCCTAATTCTATAAGAAAAGAAAAAATGAACCTGCAAAATAATCTATTTCTAATTTTTCATTTACATGGGCTTACTATGACTCAAAATAAAATAACTTAAATAAAATAACAATAAAGTGCAAAATTGATTTTTCCAACTCATCTGTTGTCACAGTGAGATTCATCTTTAGTTAATTGAATTTGACCTCTCTATTTTTTTCAGGGATTACTAAGGCCCTATGCGTATTCCAAAATGGAATGTAAAAATCTCCAGGTATAATTATTAATGTACTGGGATTGATTCCCTGAATTGATCCATTATCATATATTAACTTTTTTATTGTAGTTGTTAGGTCACAATAATTATGCCAATATTTGATCTTTGATGTGTCACATATCTTGCCTTAAGACTTCTCCCTAACAAAGCGGTTGACAGTTCCCTAACAAAGAAATTCATATTTTTATTTTGATTAGTACAGAATTGGACAGAACCATACAGAACAAATATCTAGTTTTGGGTGGGGTATAGCCTAAGCCTGAATAGAGTATTAGGTTCTCACTATAGTTAATAATTAATATTATACTTTTGAATATATTTTAAGATAATATATCATATAGATACATAGCATTGAGGATAGTTCAAAGAGCACTAACATTAACCAGTTGAGGAATTAATTAGATTTTTTATTACATCTCAGATTGACATGCCTACCAAATATCATGTCACTGAAGTATTATCAATAAATATAAATATTATAAAAGAATTGAGTTGCCAAAAAATAATGAAGTCATTTAGTATATAATTTACTTACAGGATATTTTAAAAGTGATAAAAATGTTTGTTTATGCCTTCTCAGAACGGACTCAAATGTGTGCACAGCATATGGGGCGCCTCCACCTTCATGAGCAAGGTACCCCTCCACTACTGCCACTAATTCCTTGTATGGGGTCCATAAATCTTCTACTGTAGTACCTAAATTTAATTTGTCATGTAAAAAAAATAGAACCATATATTATTGACCGGGAAGAATGCCTAGAGGCATTAACGTGTTATAAATTTTAAAGTGTAAGAAAATAATTAAATATTTAATTGAATTATCTTTATTAAAAAAGGAAATACATGTTTTGACAATAAAATACATTAAAAGCAATGAGGTTGTAATAGTACATATGCAAGGAGCAATTTCAATCTAAACAAAAACTGAAGCATAACCGTAAATTTTTAATATAATTTACCGAAATTACATTGGTTTAGGCTTTTAACATTTCCAAAACCGCCAAAAAGTTTAAAAATAGGTTAGAACAGTAAGCATATAATACCTTCGTTAATATCCATTTTTACTTTGTGCAAAAATCCTTATTGAAATATCCTATGCTTCATTACGCTTATATCAATCACCTTTTTGAGTTTTTATGGGATATACTTTTTCTTAATCGTGCAATTCTTGCGGTTGTTTTGAAAACTAACTTTGACAGTTCATTCTTCCAGTGTTGCCAGATTTTTTCACCTTCCCCCCTAGATTTTTCCAAAAAACCCCTAGTTTCCCTACGTAGGGGGATAGAAAACCTCTGAATTTTTTTCGGTAAGTTTCGTGTGAATCAGATTTATCAAAAATAAAAAGTTTCTACTACATACAAGCTACGTACTTAGAACATTCAACCCAATGGACGAGTAATGCGCCTAATGCTACGAATAAAAAAGTTTGTCACTTTTGGTGGGGGGAAGAAACACTACATAGACACACACAAATCTAAATGTGCAACACCATATATACATTTTATGCACACATGTGGGTTAAATACATTAATATAGAAAGAGTTATGAGTATAAGACGGACAAATTAATTTCGATACTACCATATTGATATTCTATATCGATAATGTATTGTCGGCATTGTCTGTTTTGAAAAAGAATTCGGAAGTTGGTAAGACTAGTGAAAAACCTTCAGAAAAACCTCTAGATTAATTTCGTGATATTAAAACCTCTAAAAAACCTAAACGTCCTCAAAAAACCCCTAGATCGAGGAAAAACCTCTATATCTGGCAACACTGCATTCTTCATTCGTTCGTTTAGTTTCGAAATAAGTAGGTAAATAATGTACTCTATGGTTTCTTTTCTTATTTTTTTTATTTAACTGGCTTTACGGCTCTGGGTTCTAGCTTTTATGAGCATCATTTCTTTCGTAATCTTTTTTATATATTTTTCTTCACAATATGCTGATGAGTCACATAGCGAAGCTTTTGGTAGATTTCAACGACAGCTCAACCCAGCAGACAGTTGATGACGACAGCCACTCAAGTTCTTAAGGCGCCCAAGCAATCAAAATAACTTGAGGTTTATATCAACACCAAAGTACTTGTTTCGTCGTTTTCTGTAATAGTTCACGCGCTCACTTAACTAACAAAATCGCATCAATTATACGAATCAAATTACACTTCAAATTATTATTCAAGCGACAAAACAGGAGCGACATTCCGTCGATGGCCAAGTTCCCGCCAAAACTCCTATGGTTTCTTTCTAATGGTTTCAAACACAGACTAATAAGAGGATATGGTTACAAATAAAAAAACTCCGTGGTTCTAAGGTAAACGCACATTTGTCAGCACTGTACTTGGACTATTCAACCCAATGGCCTTGCCTCGCATGATTATTCCCCTCTGCGCAAGTATTGGATTTAAAAATCTTGTGCGTTTATAAAAACTGTTTGCGGAATCGATTTCGTCGTTATAAGAATCGTTTCCGTTGTTGTAGGTGCTCTTTAAAAAATGCCAATTTGTGCGATTAACATGTGCAAAAAGAAGTCTGATACTTCAAATTTACAAAAAGATGGAGTTACGTTCCGTATTTAAGTATTTTTATTGTGATATATGCTTTCCTTCTATTATAATCATTTAAAATAATATCATAAATAATAATCGAGAACTTTACGAATAAGATAATCGAGTACATAATATTTCATAAATATCGTAGTGATAATCGAAATGTGACGAGCACGCTCCCCACGAGATTAATTATATGTTTATTTTTTTAAAATCAACCCTTAGATGTTACAAATTAGGTTTAAAATTGAACACGCAAGCACAACGATACTTCTTACAAGACTAGTTTATATTAGCAACATATAAACAATAAAAGTGTAACGAGACTACTTAACCCTGCAGCGCTCGCGCCTTATAAAATAACGTAAATAGTCGTTATTATATGAAATAACGGTATAAGATTACGTATGTAGTCCAATTTAAAATAAGAAGAAAGCTTTAAAGTATCAATTAAAATGTGTTTTTATTTTATTATAAATATGAAGCAGGGTAACATTTAGTCAACGGTTAATCATATTTAATAAACAAAAACCATTTATACGTCCTTTTTTATTTTAATTATAATATTTGAAAAAAAAAAAACTTTTACATATTAATATATGAAAATATCACATTAATTTCAAAGTTAGATCACAAATCAGTTTCCCATAGTTTTTTCTAATCATTTGGTTCCAGAAATATCCAAATTTGAGATTATTTTACAGTAGTTTACTTGTAATCCACGCAACAACTGTAGGGTTAAGTGTTTAATAGGAAATGGTGTCATATTGATGTGTGATGTGACTGTAATGTGCGGATCCATATCGATAATTTTCATTATATTCATTAAAGAAGCATTACCTATCTTTAATTTAATTTTCATTATATTCATTAAAGAAGCATTACCTTAATTATCAAACACTCAACTAAAGAAGATTACCTATTATTATATTAAACGTGTGAATGAACAATTTTTGTCCTTAGATTAAATAAATTCAACAAAAAAAAATTAAACTCTAGATACTTCTATACTAAAACTTCCTTTAATTATTGTATTTAAAATATATTTACTTATTTTACTTGTTATCTAAATGATACCCGCGACTTGTGACCACGTGGATAAGAAAAAATTGAAAATTTCCTTTTTAATTTTCCGGGACTTTAGCTTGTGCGAATTTAGAGTATCCAAATCTGTTCAGATGTTGTGGCGTGAAGGAGCAAAAAACATCTTGAATCCGTATGAATGCAATTAGACATAGGAAAATCTTTTACTTATATAGCGATAAGGTTTTGGTGAGTATTAATTAAGTATTAGGGCGCAACATCTTAACTTTGGGGCATATTATTTTCAATTACCCAGAGTATTGTTGAAGTTAGGAGTGAAATTACCGATCTACGGTCCTGGCATGAGCAAACGGGAAACCATCCATACTAACTTGTCATTTGTTAAAAAATCACAAGTTCGTAAACGCAGTCAAACAAACTACACAAAAAAAGCCTTACCTTTGAAGAAGCACAGATTTATAGTAAATTACCTTGTAATAAAAAATTGTAAGCTCATTTAGTAGTTTTAAGTCTCAGCTGTCACAATATATAATTGATCATTTTTCACCATTCAATTGAGGCTATGAAACTACTAACTGATTGTTCGGCGACCATTAGAATAAGTATACTAAAATGTAATTATTATTTTCATGTAAGTGGCATTGTTTGTCTTTTTTGAAAATAAATTTCTTTAAACTTATTCATACAAATAGGATTGAGCAAGTACAAAAGAGTTTTCTAGGTTTTCTGCAATTTAAGACGCAATTTTACACTGATAATTACATTTCGCGGTGTAAAAAATTTCATATTTTGCCTTTGTACGAACGTAGGCGCATAGAAGATATGATTTATCTTTTTAAATTGGCAAATGGTAATATTGACTGTCCGGAGCTGCTCAGTAAGTTAGGATTTACAAGACAAGAGTTCCTTAAAGAAATCCTCGCTTACTCCATGTGCCGTATTGCATGTAGAACTTTTAACGACATTTCCAATAGCGTTGACTTGGATTTGTTAAATACCAGTGTTTCTCGAATACAAAATTTTTTAGCGAAAAAATTCTTTTGTTGGGTGCTCTTCTGTTTAATTTTGTTAATTTACTGTATTTGTCTTAATCGATGTTTATCTTTTACCGACTAGAATTATTGTTTTAAAGATCATAATGTCTATAGGTGAAAACTTTTAAATGGCCTTCTAGTTGTTATTCATTTATTTACTGTTAATGTTAGCTGTAAGTTTTCCAAAAAGAATAAAATAAAATAAAATATTTAGTTCAGGGCAGTTTTACAATGTTACTTTTAAGTTTCTATTAATTGACTCTTTAAAAGTTCGCTTGCTTCTGTTCTTATCTTTTCTAGGACCTTTTTGTTTTATTTATTTACCAAAGATATCTCTGTCAGCGAATCTAGTACTTCTTGCAAACTTCTTTTATCTTTGAATACCGTTTTAAAAATAGACGACGTTGTCTTTAAGATCAGCCCCAAATAAATATTTTTTAAATTTTATTTATATTTTAGTTCTTTATATTTATTGCACTAATTAATAAGTTGAGACCCTTTATTTTTGTTTCACAAAAGCATTTTATTGTAATAATATAAATTTCGATTTTAAAACTATTTTTATTGTGATGAGGGCTTATTATTTAAAACATAAGTTCCTCCACTATTTGTTTTGGTAATTAGAGCCTATTTATTTCTGGTATTCATGTTTAACCATGCCTCTTTAGAAGTCTCTGTATTAAGCTGCGGATAAACCGACAGACAGTTGAACTTGGCGAAACTATAAGCGTTCCTTGTTATGTTACTAATTACTATGGAACCCTAAAAAAACTTATGAATGAACGAATATACTTTATTGTACACCACAAACAAATTTACAAAGAACATAACAGAGAACAATGTACAATTTAGCGGCCTTATCGCTACATAGCGATCTCTTCCAGGCAACCAAAGGTGTAAAAGAATAAAAAAGTGAATACTAGGTAGGTGGTGCAATATAAATATACCTAATAAAATAACATATAAATAACTAATACATTAAAAAATATGATACACATATGTAAACGTATATACATAAACATACACACACACTCACATATATATATATATATATATATCCTCAAATATATTCCTCAAACAATAACATAAACAAATAATTGCGTCAGCATAGTCGAGAATCGGAAGGAGAAGAGACTGTGCGAGCATAATTTTTGTATGAATGGGAAGAATGATCGAAGGCGAAACTTACTACGCTGACCAACTAAAAAGATGATTTTAATTGTTTGAGTGCATTTTGCTAATGCTTGTTAGTTTTTCTCTTTTTCTTAGTAAAAGTATCGATACGGTAGCATCGCAATTAATTTGTCTGTCTTATACTCATAACTTTTTTATGTTGATGTATTTAGCCTACATGTGTGCGCAAAATGTAATAGTGTTGGAGATTTCTATTTGTGTATGCCATACACAAAATTTTATTGAGTAGGTGTTTAAGGTGTAG